AAACCATTCTGTAATGTGACAGAACAGCAGACGACCCCTTATATTAGCATGTAACTTTACAACATTAATTAAATTTGTGGCATTAAACCCAAAGTAACGTATATATTACCACTGCATTATTACACAGTAACTACATAGTAACTACACAGGAACTGTCCACTTATTTTTTTAAGTGTAACTTTAACACTACACTATAGGAAAGTTCCTGTGTTGTTATAAAGTTACAGTGTAATTACAGAATGGTATTAACCAACAGGATGTGATTAGGTAACCCTGTTACAACACAGTTGTTCCACAGTAATTATGTTAAAAATAAACATAATGTTATGTAAAAGGTACTTCTGTTAGCTGCTGGAAAAAATGTCTGATCTGTCTATTTATATGAGGCATACTGAAGTTGTTACACATGTGTAATGACATAGGCTGTAACCCGTCTGTAACACTGTAACTACTGATGATTTAGCCAGTGTTGTTGCATTTTATTCATGTGTAACTACACAGTTATTAGAGCCACTTGATATAAAGTGGGACCAACAGAAGTTCGGGGAGTGATGTCCTGTTCTGCCCCCGAGTGATTGAGTGCTCAAGGACAAGGACAGGATCTTCTGCTCAACACGTTTTTGCACATACACACAGTCATACCCTGCAAACTAGCGCAAAGCAGTAGTAACAGAGAGAATACATCAACGTTTCAGTTTATACATGGGCGATCATCATACAAATTTCCTTTACAGCCCACAAGTGTTCAACAAGGGACGTTAAAAGGTGAAATGAAAATACTGTTTGTATTTTATTTTACTTTTGAACAATCATGCACCCTTCAAAAGACAGAAGTGCCCACGTGATTCCACATGAAAGTGGTGTAATGAACACTCAGAGACAGGACACACATGCTTAATATATTTATCAACAGCCTTAAGGTTTACTTGATAAAAAAATAAAAAATTACATTGTAAAAGCCAGGACCATGGAATGAAGTAAGCACATAAAAATTTAAAATATGCAGTTCCAACACTCGTACCTGTGAACAAAACATTAAATGTAATTAAAGACAATAATCAAAAAACGATTAATAGAAAATTTGAATTTTACTGTGTAGCTCTCATAACATGAGTCCAAGGCCTAATCCCATTTCTTATTTTTAACCTTGCCCCTTGGAACCGAGTAACAAGGGATAGTGGTTGAAATCTTCACCTTGTTCATTAAGCCTACACATCGTCAGTTGTCCTCAATGACTTTTACATAAACATATGTGACGAGTTTTGCCTGACATTTCCAATACGCCAACAGGCATCCTTTACCGTTGTCTACAGCGAATCAGAGAAATGTTAACAAAGGGCCTAATTCCTACGTTTTCTTAAATGTGTTCTTGAGGAAATTCCTAAGAAAAAGTCAGATTCATGACGTGTTCTTAATGCGTAGAACTGTGTGCTCTTGAGTGTGTGTAGATTCTGTTCTTACCTAAGAACAAATCCCAAAAATGGAAAAATCGATAAAAACGGTGTAAGTGAAATTTATTCTTAAGGACGGTCGGGGAATGAGGTGAAAAACATCTTCAATTCCTGGGAATGCTGGTGGATTGGTTTGTGATATGTAGGACTGACTGCAAAAAAGTTTTGTTGTAGTTAGCCTAGCTGCCCACCATGAAATGGAAATGGGCTTATATCTGGAGACATCTGTGAGGGAATCTGGGCTACATGTGGGTGGGATTATAGACTTAATAGGGTGATAACAGAGTGAATTGTCAAAATGAATCCACTACTAATGAAGGCAGAGCTTAAAGCAGAGGTGATGGTGTTAGTGAAGTTATTAAAAAGTGTAAAGTGAAGACTGAAAATGACCTATAATGCCAACCACCACATTCCAGTCCAACAGAATAGTTCTGAGATCTGTTATGAGATTATATACTCTCACCCCTTAAAAGGTGAATTTTCAACTCTTAACACATGATAAATGCACTTAGTGAACTATAATAAAAGCAACTGTAACAATATAAAACATACGTTTCTATGTTTAAGCCTGCGCCTGGTGATGGTTGAGTTACCGCAGTGTCAACACACACACATTTTCTAAAACGCTTATCCTTCTGGGTCGTGGGGGTGCCTATCGCAGCAGTCATTGGGCAGAAGGCAGGAAACACTCTGGACAGGTGGTATTAGTCAACAGTGATAGTAAAAACTTGAATTCATTAAAAAGAAAAAAAACACACTTATGGATATCATTCATGCAAACTACAGCAAAACACCAGTATTAACATACTTGAACCTAATTAAACTTATAAACGGTAGATGATGTGATATGCTATACATTAATACCACATTAAATGCTGATGGGCAAATAAAAGCTGATGGTACAGTGTGCGTCAGTGGTTGACTGGTCAGCTAATTTAATGCTATTTTGAAATAATTGGCCAATGCCTGAACTCATGATGAATTACAGTATGTGGCTGCTGTGAATTGATGTTACAGCTCATTCGTGTCCATTTCGACCATTCTACAGGCACACATTAGTGGGTGCTGTGAAACAGAGGGAAATCAGCTGCCCTGCTCACTAAATATTGGCATCAGCAATTGAAAATCCTATACTGATCGACCACTAGTGTGCATTTTAGGAGCCTCACACCACAGCATCAGATTTCAGACATTAGAAAAATCATGTAAAATGTTCTTAACAAAGATTCCATCTCAACTCTGAGACAATGATCTTCTGTCCACTTCAGTGTAAAGGGACTGTAGAAAAATGACCAGACAATAAAGTAAAGTAAGAGAAGAAATCCCTACGTTTACCATGGACATTTCCACATGGTTCTCCAACTAAAAGGACTCTGTTAATGGTCTGGGTCTATTTACATTTGACTACACATTTGACTCAGTTTGTTAATGTAAACGGTGAATCATCTGCCCTCGCAAAAGTAAAGTATGGTGTTCCACAAGGCTCTGTTTTAGGACCTGTATTATTCACATTATATATGCTACCACTGGGCACCATTATCAGTAAACACAGCATAAATTTCCACTGTTATGCCGATGACACTCAGTTATATTTAGCAAGCGAACTGGATGATAAAATTAAACATGGCAAGATTGAAGACTGTATACAAGACATAAAGGACTGGATGTCGAGTAACTTTCTCCTTCTAAACTCGGATAAAACGGAGGTTCTGCTTCTTGGTCCAAAAGCAGCTGTAAAAAGCCTTGGTGTCATTATAGACCCTGATCTGTCCTTCGACACACATATAACTAATATTACTAGAACAGCCTTCCTGCATCTCCGCGATATTGCTAAATCGAGAAATGCATTCTCTCTACAGGATGCAGTAAAGTTAGTTCATGCATTTATTACTTCAAGGCTAGATTACTGTAATGCCCTGCTGGCTGGATGTCCCAGCAAAAGCCTTAACAAGCTTCAGTTGGTCCAGAATGCTGCAGCCAGAGTTCTTACTAGAACCAGAAAGTTTGACCATATCAGCCCAGTTTTATCAGCCTTACACTGGTTACCAGTTAAATTTCACATCAATTATAAAATTCTCTTACTGACTTATAAAGCTCTAAACAGACTCGCCCCTCAGTACCTGAGTGAACTTCTCTCCCACTATGAACCATCACGCCTACTTAGATCACAAGGTGCTGCTCACTGTTAGTACCTAGAATGAATAAAGGTACATCAGGGTGGGGAGAGCTTTCTCATACAAAGCCCCCCAGCTTTGGAATAGTCTTCCTGTTAATGTTCGGGACTCAGACACAGCCTCAGTCTTTAAGTCTAGGCTAAAAACCTACTTGTATAGTCAAGCCTTTGGTAATTAGTTTTCCCTGTCAGATCTAGACCTGCCTGAGTCTCTGCTAACACTGTAATTTGTGATCAGTCGCCCATTATAGAACTGACTCTCAGTTCTGTCAGTCACTCATTACAGAACTGACTCTCTGTGTGTTTTCCTCTCTTTCTTTTCTTCGCCGAGTTGAACAGCTGCCCATCCTGTTCATTCTGATGCTGCTGCCTCTCTGCCTTGATCGGGTGCCACTGCTCGCCAGCCCTCTGGACCGGCTTACCAACATTGAGCCTCCTGCTGTACAACGCCGTACAAACCTCACCCTCACAACCTGACCCCACTGATACTACTGCTGTTGCTACATGAACTAATCAAAATTAATCATTTGAACTAATCAATCATTTAAACTAATGAAATTAATCAATCACCCATTACAGAACTGACTCTGTGTGTTTTTCCTTTCTTCTCTTTGCCGAGTTGAACAGATGCCCATCCTGTGCGTCTGATGCTGCTGCCTCTTCTGCCTTGATCGGATGCCACTGCTCGCCGTGCAAACCTCACCCTCACAACCTGACCCCACTGATGCTGCTGCTGCCTGAACTAAACTAATCAAATTAATCATTTGCTCCACCTGTTTTCCCCATTTTTGTACTAACAATGTTTACTATCCGGTGTCGACCAGAGGAGGATGGGTTCCCCTTCTGAGTCTCGGTTCCTCTCAAGGTTTCTTCCTGTTTCTCTTAGGGAGTTTTTCCTTGCCACTGTCACCACTGGTGACGCTCATGGGGGCTTGGACCCAGATTTCTTTTTGTAATGCTGATTTCCTTGTAAAGCTGCTTTGTGACAACATCTGTTGTAAAAAGCGCTATATAAATAAACTTTACTTACTTACTTACTTACTTACACCAGGGCCACCAATCTTATACACTAAGGCTACGTTTACACAGCAAGTAAAAGTGGCCCAAATCCGATCTTTTCCCTCAAATGTGACACAGATGTGTCATTTGTGTGGCAGTGTGAACAGCAAAAAATGCATGAATCTGACATTTTCAATTCCGATTTGAGACGCTTTCATATGTGGTACTGAAATCCGATCCGTATCCGATCTGCAGCAATGCGACTCAGTCTGAACAGTCAGATTGGAATTCATGCAACTTTTACGTCAGTCCAACTCGACATTCGTCAGACTGATGTCACATACAGGTCACATTTAAAAGACAATGTGAACAGCCAAACAAAAAAATCGGATTTGGTGAGAAAACCAGATTTGGGCCACTTTTACCTGCTGTGTAAACGTAGCCTAAGAGCTGTTGGTGCTGGTGGTCTTTATTCCAACTAAGCAGATGCACACCCGATTCCTCTTGTTTAATCAGTTGATCTCAGTCGTCCAACAATGGGGTAGTTATAGAAGGAGTGCTCCAAAATGAAGTAAAAACCTGCAGCCACCCCAGCCCTCTGTGGACAAGATTAGTGACCCCTGGACTACACCACTGGAATACAATATCCTAACCTGAACCCATATGGACAGATTGTTGATGAGTGCCAGTGTGTGGAAGATGTTCTTCAGGACGTTATTTTCTGGCTCACTGCAACTGTGTGTCTTTGAATTTGAGTGCCTGAAGGTTCTCCTGCACTCTAGGCATGAATACAGCTTCACTCAGGTGTGAACGCACTGGTGTTTTTGGAGATAACATTTGTCTGAGTAGCTTTTTCCACACTCTGAGCAGGAAAACGGTTTCTCTCCTGTGTGGATTTGCTGGTGTCGTTGGAGATCACGTCTTGAGATAAAACGTTTTGTACACTCCAAACAGGGAAATGGTTTCTCTCCTGTGTGAACATACCAGTGTTGTTTGAGAGTACTGTGCTGACGAAAACTCTTCCCACAGTCTGAGCAGTGATACGGTTTTTCTCCTGTGTGAACGCGCTCGTGTTGTGTGAGTTGATCCTGTCGAGTAAAAGTCTTTCCACATTCTGAGCAGTAATACGGTTTCACTCCTGTGTGAATGCGTTGGTGGATTTTCAGACTGCGTCCATTAGCAAATCTCTTCTCGCAGTCTGAGCAGTGATACGGTTTTTCTCCTGTGTGAACGCGCTGGTGAATTTTGAGAGCAATGCTTTTTCTAAAACTCTTCCCACATGTCGAGCAGGGATACGGTTTCTCTCCTGTGTGAATGCGCCGGTGGTCTCGGAGTTCCCACAGAACAGTAAAACTCTTTCCACAGTCTGAGCACTGATATGGTTTCTCTCCTGTATGAACGCGCTGGTGGACTTGGAGATGACTGCTGGTACTGAAACTCTGTCCACATTCTGAGCAGTGATACGGTTTCTCTCCTGTGTGAATGCGTTGGTGTATTTTGAGAGCACCACTTAGTCTAAAACTCTTTCCACACTCTTTACAGGGATACGGTTTCTCTCCTGTGTGAACGCGCTGGTGTTGTTTGAGTTGAGTCTGTTGAGTAAAAGTCTTCCCACACTCTGAACAGTAATACGGTCGCACTCCAGTGTGAATGCGCTGGTGGATTTTGAGAGTGTGTCCATCAGGAAAACTCTTCCCACAGTCTGAGCAGTGATACGGTTTTTCTCCTGTGTGAACGCGCTGGTGGACTTGGAGATGACCGCTGGTACTGAAACTCTGTCCACATTCTGAGCACTGATACGGTTTCTCTCCTGTGTGAATGCGCTGGTGTATTTTGAGGGCACTGCTTCTTCCAAAACTCTTCCCACATGTTGAGCAGGGATACGGTTTCTCTCCGGTGTGAATGCGCCGGTGACCATAGAGATGACTCAGTACCTTGAAACTCTTCCCACACTCTGAGCACTGATACGGTTTTTCTCCTGTGTGAATGCGCTGGTGCTGTTGCAGATTAGCCTGTCTAGGAAAACTCTTCCCACACTCTGAGCAGTGATACGGTTTTTCTCCTGTGTGAATGCGCTGGTGCTGTTGCAGATTAGCCTGTCTAGGAAAACTCTTCCCACACTCTGAGCACTGATACGGTTTTTCTCCCGTGTGAATGCGCTGGTGTTGCTTCAGATGACAATATACAGTAAAGCTCTGATCACAGTCTGGGCAGGTATACGGTTTCTCTCCTGTGTGAATGCGTTGGTGTACATGGAGATAATTGCGTGTAGTAAAACTCTTTTCACACTCTGAGCACTGATACGGCTTCACTCCTGTGTGAACGTGTTGGTGTGCTTGGAGGCTACTCTTTCTAATAAAGCTCTCTTCACACTGTGAGCACTGAAACGGTTTCTCTCCTGTGTGAATGCGCTGGTGTATTTGGAGATAACCCTTTTGCTTAAAGCTCTGTCCACACTCTGAGCAGGTATACGGTTTCTCTCCTGTGTGAATGAGCTGGTGCTCCTGGAGAGAATTCTTATGGCCAAAACTCTTCCCACACTCTGAGCAGGTATACGGTTTCTCTCCTGTGTGAACGAGCTGGTGTCTTTTGAGACTACTCTTCATAGTAAAGCTCTTCCCACAATCTGAGCAGTGGTGTTTGCCCATGTTCTTTTGTGCTTGTCTGTGAGCTGAGTTCTTGCAGAGAGTAGTAGCGCAGGTTTTGTAAGTCCTAGAGCTTCTAGACACCAACACTCTCACAAGTATGACATATCCCTCTTGGTAGCTTTCCTGATTTGTTTTGGAAGTAAATTTGAACTGTGTAGGAATGTGGACATTAGTAGCAGCAGGAGACTTGCAATGGTCACTCGTTTCTGAAGGAGGAAAAGAAATGGGGGAAACAAGTCAAATTCAATGATCACAAAAAGCAAGAAAATAGGGACAAACACACTGGTTAATGAATAAAGTAGTCAAATAATATACAAAACCTCACACTCAACAGTTTTTCACAACAGTGAGACAAAAGCCTTTCTTCGTCTTGTCTTTGACTCAGACAGCTTTGTCAGTCCAAAGATGTTGCTTATAAAAGTGTAGATTGTACAAAGTTCTTTCAGTCTAAAGTTACTCTAAATAGAAATAAAAGCGGCAAAAGAGAGCTACTATTTAGTGGCTGGCCACTGAATAGAACACCCTGCCTTCAGTAAAGCATAGCAGTGGCTCGGTGATGCTCTGAGGCTGCTTTGCTTCCTCTGGCACTGGAAACCTGCAGCATGTGGAGGGCAAGAGAGATTTAAGAAACTATAAGAAAATACTAGGAGAAAACCTTGTGACTTCTGTGAGGAAGCTGAAGCTTGGGCATCATAGGAGCTTCAAACAGAACAGGGATCCCAAGCATACCTCGAAGGTCACCAAGGCTTGGTTTCAGAAGAAGTCCTGGAAGATTCTAAAGTAACTGTCACAGTCAACTGACTTGTACCCCATAGAAAATCTTTGGTGAGATTTGAGAAAAGCGGTTTCAGCATGCAAACCCAAGAATATTAGTGAACTGGAGGCCATTGCCTATGAGGAATGGCCTATGATTCCTCAGGATTGCTGGGAGAAACTGGTGTCTTGCTATGCCTTATGTCTGTAGAAGGTCATAACAACAAAAGGGTGTTCTACTAAGCATTAAAGACACTTGTCATGAAGAGGTTGAATAATTCTGAGAATGTAGCAGTCATTAAAATTGGCATTTTTTGTTGAATGTGGAGAAATCACTTGTAATATTAGTTGTGTTGAGCTATTTAAACTGTTCTTGTTTGATTGGTTTACTGCAAACAGCTAAAAGTTTTTAAATGTTGCTAATAAACCTAATTTTCAACAGGGATTGAATCATTTTAATTAGAACTGTGCCAACACACACGTTATATGGAAGAAGGTGGAGAAGGGGGCGTGGCTGAGCGTCAAATGCGGGACGGAGAAGCCGGTCTGGCTGAACCAACGGGCTAAGTAGCTGATTATGTTCACCTGTGCCTTGTTTCTGCCAGCCTACTTGTAGCCATCTCTTCTTCAGTAGGTGGCAGAACCCAGAGAGAGAAGGAGACCTATGAAGGCGTGAGAGCTGAGCTGAACCGAACCAGAAAGAAAGAAAAGAAAGGACTGAAAAGTTCCAGCGAGCGTCTTGTCTTACCTGAGTGAACTTCTCTCCTACTATGAACCGTCGAGCCTACTTAGGTCACAAGGTGCTGGTTTACTATTAGTACCTAGAATTAATAAAGTTACATCGGGGGGAGAATCTTCTCATTCAAAGCCCCCCAGCTTTGGAATAGTCTTCCTGTTAATGTTCGGGACTCAGACACAGCCTCAGTGTTTAAGTCTAGGCTAAAAACTTACTTGTTTAGTGGAGCCTTTGGTAATCTCAGATAAAAGATGCAGATCTGGGGTTCATGATCAGAGTATTATGGTAAACTGGGAGTGTTGGTGCCGTCGTCCCGCTTCACTCAAGTTTCTGACGGTGGAGCGGAGTGGTGCCGACATCTCAGGGAGCCCTCAGGTCTCTGTTACCTTCTGGTTTCTCCCTTTTAGTAAAGGGCTGTAATATCTAGACCTTCTGGAGTCTCTGCTGCTCTGCTAACACTGTAATCTGTGATCAGTCACTCTGTACAGAACTGACTCTCTGTGTGTTTCCTTTCTTTGCCGAGTTGAACAGCTGCCCATCCTGTGCATCTGATGCTGTTGCTTCTTCTGCCTTGATCGGGTGCCGCTGCTCGCCAGCCTTCTGGACCAGCTTGACCACCATTGAGCTTCATGCTATACAAACTGTGCAATCCTCACCCTCATGAACTGACCCTCCGGACGACGATGCTGCTGTTGCTGCAAAAATAATAAAACCTATAAATATTTTATACTAAAGCTGTTTGCTATCTGGTGTTGACCAGAGGAGGATGGGTTCCCCTTTCTGAGTCTTGGTTCCTCTCAAGGTTTCTTCTTCTTACTCTTGGAGTTTTTCCTTGCCACTGTAGCCACTGGCGACGCTCATGGGGGCTTGGACCCAGATTTCTTTCTGTAATGCTGATTTTTCTGTAAAGCTGCTTTGTGACAACACCTGTTGTAAAAAGCGCTATATAAATAAATTTGCTTCCTTGCTTGTAGTAAGTCAACAGAGGATAAGTACTGTGCGCTCGATGGCCCCGCTCTGTGAGTTTGTGGTCTGCCGCTTCATGGCTAAGCTGTTTTTGCTTCTCAGTGCTTCTATTTCACAATGGTAGCTTACAACACTTACAGTTCATGGGGCAGATCTAGAAGGCAGAAATTTAACAATTTTTTTTAGCCATGTTTAAAGGCATTGTGCTCTTCAGTGCGACCCATTCTACTGCCAGTGTTTGTCTATCAAGAGTGCAAGGCTATGAGCTTAAGCTTTTCTATACACCAATCAGGCCTAACATTATGAGCACCTCCTTGTTTCTACACTCATTGTCCATTTTATCAGCTCCACTTACTATATAGGTGCACTTTGTAGTTCTACAGTTACAGACTGTAGTCCATCTGTTTCTCTGATACTTTGTTAGCCCCCTTTTACCCTGTTCTTCAATGTTTTTCTCAAATCTGTGTGTGCTAAAGTTGTTGGCAGCCCTTAATTTAATACTTTGTGCAGCCTCCCTTTGCAAATAGTTAGCAAATAGCTGTGAGTCTTCTCCTATAATGCTTAATGGAGAACATATGGCTCTGAGGATCTGAGACCATTTCTCCATACAGAATCTCTCCAGATCCTCCAGATTGCACACTGTGGACTGTCATGGGTTTTCTATGTAGTTTAGGTCAGGGGATTGGGGTGGCCATGGAAAAACCTTTTTTCTATGGTCAATGAACCATTATGTTCAATTCGCATGCCTTGGATCACTGTCCTGCTGGAAGATCCAAACTATGGTCCAGGGACAGTCAGGAAGTCTATTAAGGTCTCATCTGACCATAGAACGCAGTTCCTAATCACTCAAGTGAACTTAAAAGCAAAATATGGATGAGAATATACTACATTTAGATTTCGCTTTTGAGAATTTTATGGGTTCCAAAAATGTATAGATTTAGATTTCAATTCACATAAATTTGAGAAGTACAAAAAGTATTCACTCACCCATCCAAATCATTGGATTCAGGTGTTCCAATCACTTCCATGGCCACAGGTGTATAAAACCAAGCAGCTAGGCCTGCAGACTGCTTCTACAAACATTAGTGAAAGAATGGGTCACTCTCAGGAGCTCAGTGAACTCCAGCGTGGTTCCGTGAAATTTCCTCACTACTAAATATTCCACAGTCAACGGTCAGTGGTATTATAACAAAGTGGAAGCGATTGGGAATGACAGCAACTCAGGCATGAAGTGGTCGGCCATGTAAAATGACAGAGCGGGGTCAGCGGATGCTGAGGCGCATAGAGCGCAGAGGTCACCGACTTTCTGCAGAGTCAGTCGCTACAGACCTCCAAACTTCATCCGTCATGAACAGTCATGAAACTACTCATACCACTGCTTACCATCACTGAACCATAAATATACATGCATAGATGCATATTGGGTTAATCTGTATGGAATATTCACATTAGATTAGCAACTCCTTGCTGTGTTTTGAGGTGTTTATTGCATTTATGTGCATGAAGATTAGATGGAATTCACACATTTATAAATTTGCTGATATGTGTGACTGTGTTCCTACTGGAGCTGGACACCAGACACCTCTGAAACCAGAAAACTGCAGGTTTATTTTCTTCAAAAGCTCAAATACAAGGTGGGCTGATGGCTTCAGGGATGGGAATATGCCAAAATAATAAAACAAACACAACTAACCATTTCAAATCTAACTACACAAAAATCGAAAGAACCCATGATACATATGGCTACCCTAACCTAAATGGTCACTAAAACAAATGGCAGTTGTCCCCTACTTTACAAACGTTTCCAGAGTTTCACAAAACCTAACCAAAACTTTACACACAGAGAAAATGAGTGCTGGGCTGGTCGTGATTGGTGTTCTTCCAGGTCAAGTCAGAAGGGAGAAAGCCCTTAACGTCTTCTGAAATGGTGGTTCGGTGACCTCTTATACAAGAGGCCGGCCCCTAAGTGGCTAATCATAAACAGAAGGGACACACAAAATGGCCGCAAACAGGTACAAAGAAAGGCAATTAAGACCAGTTTCACCAAAATTCTGTCGGGACCAAGAGCTACTTCTCCTTGCCCGAGGTCCAAAGCGTGTAAAGAGTACTGAAAATCCCTTCTCAAGTACAAGTCAAAGTAAATTAGTAAATAAAATTGCTCAAGTAAGAGTAAATGAGTAGTTCATTTCCTATTTCTGCTGTCACAACCTGAACATATGTCTGAGCTGATCCGGCTACATCACTGGAAATAATCTGTACAGAAAACACTACAGCTAAAGTTCTGAGAGCTGAGACTGATCACAGTCTCAGCAGATCTGCTAGAGCACATCTACACACCTTTCTGTGAGCTGAGTCAGGACATTAGTTTATCTGTTTCCAGTAAAGTATTTTAAAAGCCCCTGAAAGACTGCGCACAGGCTGTTAGTGTTAAATTAAGTTTATTTTAAGAGAAAAAATGAGTCAAAATTATGAGCAGCTTGCTTAATTAATAAAATAATTTTAGTGAGACCTGCTGTCCATCAGCTCCCTGGACTCTAGCTTATGTTAATAATGTGAACCTCTACAGACAGTAAACACATTCACAGCCTTCAAACTGTATATTTTAACTGATTATATTTCATTAATAATCATGCTGATCATACAGAATCAGACACTATTACTGCATGTCACAGTTAAACAGCTACACAGACTCTCACAGTTAAAGACAAACACCGAGAGAGAGACAGCGAGAGAGTGAGAGAGAGAGAGAGAGAGAGAGAGAGAGAGAGAGAGAGAGATCAGATCAGGCCAGTCAATGAAAAACCTGTATTAGACTAGATTTCTTGTATCTCAGCCATTCACGACCGTTTATCTCCAAACAGCAGCTAAACTAGGCCATATAAACGGTAACCTGCAGGCTGTGGGCGACACCTGTTAACCAAAGTAGCTCACAGACACTGTAATAAAATATACACAGCAGATTTTAAGTTTAATAAACAGAATCATTATAAAAGACAGAAGAAACCATAAACACGGTACCTGTTTGGCTCGGTTAACGCTGCCTCACGCTGAGTCGAGCTGTGAAAATGGATCTCAGCAGGTTTCCTGTTTGGTCGCTGATAATAAAGCCGTTTTCCTTAGTTCATGTTAAATGAACACAGATGACCGTTTGGCCGTTTTAATTCTACTCTAAAAAGTACCGTTACAGGGAAAACTGTACTCAATTACAGTAACAAGAGTAAATGTAATTCATTACTTACACCTCTGGTCCAAACATATAAAGGGTATCTCTAATGCATTCTGTGTTATAGCCTTATTTTCTGAACGGTAGTCTTAATTTCTTCATAAGAAATCAAAAGAATAAGAGAGGGATCAGTAAAATGTAAGAGACTTCAGCCCCTCAGTTCTTGTGGAAAGAAGGAAAAGACCTTTGTAGTATCCAGAGTTCCATGTGTTATCTGACTTTGCAGGTTTGGAATGTTTAAATTAAGGGGGCCCCCTGGTCCAAGGGTCTCATGGGGAGTGGGCCTCTCTCTCCATTTCCTCTCTTAGCTCCAGACAGATGAGATCATTTTAAAAAGGACCATATGTTCTGTTCCCTTTTTCGAAAACAAGCAGCCTATATAAGCAGTAGGTCATACTGTTCTGGAGGGGACACTTCAGAATTGGCACGGATCCCCTCTCAGGTACTTTATAGTGCTTGATATGATACTGTTTTACTTTGTAATAAACATCTTATACAAACAAGGCTGTGTCAGCGGATGGCTAATAATTTAGCCATTGCATTATTGAACTAACTCCAAAAACTGGTTTCAACAGGTTCTTATCAGCTTAGTCTGCTCTTTGAGGGTCATCTTGCTCTCTTCTTTTACTGTGTCAACAGACTTCTGGAGGCCTCTGTAAATCCCTCATGCAGACAAACTAAGGTCTGTCCTTTGTGAGAGGATTAATATGCTTTGTTAATCAGCACTACCTGCTTGAATAAATATTCTCTTATTCTGATTATATCAATTATTTATTCAAAATATCCATCAAGTCCAGGACCTGAATGACAAGTTCATGAATCTGCACTCAAACTCAAATAACTGCATTTACAGCAATCTAGACCTCTATCTATTATTTTTATTTATTTTTTACACTCCATATGTACACAGGGGTGAGCAAATCGTCAAAATAGAGAAATCTGATTAGCACTTTGTTATAATTTTCAAAAACACTCTGATGGAGCTTCACCATTAGACTGTAAATACACATGCATTTACATCTGGTATGTATTTTTAATGACAGCTAGTTTAGCACTAATGTTCAGATTTTTAAAATCCAGATCATAAACATACTGATTACGTGTTTGATCTGCTGTCTCACTCTGTCTGTACTCATCAAATAAATGTAAATTACACGTTAATTCATTCTACACGTTTCTTACTGTGGTACGAAAGTACTTACATTCAAGTCAAATAAAACAGAGAAGTTTCCTTTACCGCTTTGATCCCTTTATGTTCTTTAAGAGATGAAGAACAGCGTCTGCAGAGGAAGCACCCACTTGAGACGGACGAGCACACAATACCAGCCTCACACGATACCAGGGGCATCGGATACATACACCACATTATGGCTTTGTTCACACAGCAGGTAAAAGTGGCCCAAATCTGATCTTTTTCCTCATATGTGACACAGATGTGTGTCTGTGTCAGTGTGAACAGATAAACACACTGAATCATTTCCAATTTGAGACGCTTTCATACGTGGTACTGAAATCCGATACATATCCGATCTGCAGCAGTTCAACTCACGTCAATCGTCAATCCAGCTACACACTCGTCATAATTTTGCACTGCTGAGACTCATAAACATTTAGGTTTATGTTTCTGTACCAAAAAATTTGAAGGAATTTATCACAACCGCTCCGTGTTTAGAAAGAGATTTCTAAAGAAATGCTGAACGCGGCCGTAGGAGAGCGAGGCTGCAGCGTCAAAGAAAGCAAAGTCTGAAAGCCAAGTTTAAAGAATCCGCAAATGGTGGTGAAATCAACACAGCGGAAAGCTTCTATACCTCCACATTTGTTTTGCTATCTGAATGTGTGGTTGCGTGAGTTTGTACACATTCATGTTCAGTTCACTTTAGCAACAACTTACTAGCTGTTTAGGATACAAACCCCAACATTTCAGTCGCCAAAAACAGAAATCTGCAGAAATCAGTCACAAGTTAATTAATTTGTTTTGATTAAGTGACCCTTATTAGTCCCAAAACATGGAAACTTCACCTCTGCATTTAACCCATCCATGCAGTGAAACACCACATACACACTAGCGAGCACACACACTAGGGGCAGTGAGCACACTTGCCCGGAGCGGTAGGCAGCCCTATCCACAGCGCCCGGGGAGCAGTTGGGGGTTAGATGCCTTGCACAAGGGCCCTTCAGTCATGTACTGTCAGCTCAGGGGATCAAATCAAACCGGCGACGTTCTGGAGGTGGGGAAACGTGAGGAAATACTCAGCCTTTATACGACCTATTAGGACTAAAAGTCGTGTAGTCCATCCATGGCTTACGACACAAGTCTTGATTAGGGGTGTTCATCTTTTAGTTAAAGGAGAACCAATTTTCCAAATTTCTGGACAATTAAATGGCTAAGATGTAAACAAGGTCATTCAGAGTGGTTTGGTGTGAAAACCTCCATTCTAGAGTCAGAACTGTTCACAGTGGTGGTGATAGGAACCAGACGTCCACCTCTAAAAGCTCCCTCACAGAAAGTTACTACATTAAAAATGGTTATTAATATGTTGTCTGATGTCTGAGACACTGTTTCATGGTAGTTTTGTAAAGGTTTTGGTCTAATTTAATCCATTCATGGTGAAAGGATACAAGAGGTGTAATGAGGCAAAAATAGTCCCCAAAGAAAACTTATTATTTCAGATTTTCCACTGTTTCCCATCATCATCATTCCATATAAACTCAGAAGACTCGTGTAGGTTCACTGGTGGTTCTGGATAGTAAATAAAATGTCTATATTTGTGTTGTAGTCATGGCGACCACTGGTTCCTATCACCACCACTGTAAAGACATCTGAACCATTTCACACCAAACCACTCTGAATCTCTCTGATTACATCACACACACTGAGTTATGGCGGAAATTTTTAAAAAGGCAGAATTTCCCTTTAATTTTCATGGAATTACTACCATTTACAAACAAGCAGATGGTGAAAATATATTATTATTAATTTACTTCAAATAGTAGATTTCATTAAAAACTTTACAAATACACTAAGAGAATGTGGCTTTATACCAGCAGGAGACACACACCACTAACTTACCTCGTCTTACCATCATACCAACCCCCTTTCACAGTCTAGTCACACTTGCAGTAGACCATCATCCAAAAGAGGAGGTTACAAGACTGTCTTCCAAAAAAGCAAACAATATACAAAAAGGTGGGTACCTTTGATCATCAATATCTCAAAGAAAACATCTGAGTATGGACAGAATCTGCTGGAGCCACTTTCATCACATTCTAAGGTATCAGCCGTTCATCAGCACCCCCACCCCCACCCCATCAATCTCTCACCCAGGGTTAACCCGTGACGGCCCCCCTCTCCAATCACCCACACTTAAAATTTAAAGGGAATTCCACTGATCTTTCAAAATTCCCGCATGATTGAGTGTGTGAGATGTAATCAGACTGATTCAGAGTGGTTTGGTGTGAAATGGTTCAGATGTCTTTACAGTGGTGGTGATAGGAACCAGGGGTCGCCATGACTACAACACAGATATAGACATTTTATTTACTATCCAGAACCACCAGTGAACCTACACGAGTCTTCTGAGTTTATATGGAATGTTGATGATGGAAAATAGTGGAAAATCTGAAATAATAAGTTTTCTTTGGGGACTATTTTACCTTAGAACACCCTTCATGTATCCCTCCACCATGAATGGATGCAAAATATACATCTATATATATATATCTCCAAACTATCATAAAACAGTGTCTCAGTCATCAGGCAGTGAATTCATAACCATTTCATGTAGGAACTTTCTGTGAGGGAGCTTTTAGAGGTGGACGTCTGGTTCCTATTACCACCACTGTGAACAGTTCTGACTCTAGAACAGAGCGTTTCACACCAAACCACTCTGAATGACTCTGTTTACAACTCTGAGCTGAAAAAAACTTTAGGTACTGAATAACTTAGATGTGAAATAAACTGCTAAAGCTCCCAAGTGAGAGGAGTGACCAACAGTAAAGCAGTTCAGGAGCTGAACCAGCACAACAGACTGAAATTAAACCCAGAAGAGAGAATGGAGCTGAGGAGAAAGTAGATAACTTTACTGATCAGAAGTAAAAGTTTGACCCAGAGTCACAGAGCTGAGAGCTCCATCAGCCTCCTCAGCTCAGAGTGAAGGGTTCAGCTCACACACTCCACCTGTTTCACACCATTCTGCTCTGAAAGAGAACATTTATTGCCCGTTTCTGTAAAAACACAGAGTTAAACAGCTGTTTACCTTCAGCAGAGCAGCTCCTGAGTGTCTCTCTGAGGACTGCAGGCCTCCTTCTGCTCCTTACTGCTCTGGAGAAGCACGGTTACAGAAGCAGCCCCTCCGCCTGGACTGCAGTGGGGACTCACTGTGGACGGGATTTTTAATCTCACACGTGTTCACACAAACCCCGCCTTCTGCGCTGCGATTGGCCAGAAGTTCGACGAGCAGCCTTGCTGATTGGCCAGTTGAGCAGTCGCTCACGTTACCGTAGCAACCGTTGGTGGCATTCTGGCTCTTTTCAGTGAGTCAGCAGATCAATCGGCTCGGCTCACCAATAAGAGTCGACTCTTTTGGCTCCCGAACGGATCTTGTTTCTACCCTGTAGTTTTTCAATAAAACCTTAGTCTTCTTTATAATTAGTAAAAATGATTGCGTTCAGTTAGTCATTAAAAAAAACCCAAAACATAATAAGTCAAATGTTGATGATTCACTCCGAGAGGCAGAACACACAAACGAAGCGAACCACATATAAAAAAAAGCCAAGAACAAAAACAGTTTAGGGACAACGAAAAGGCAGAACCATTTAGTTTAATTAATTTACCATTAAAAAACGACAAAAATATAGCAAGTAAATAAAAACGGCTCCTCAGTACGAGTCGGCCCCCAACAGTCACTTCAAAGAGCCAACTCTATGAGCCGACTCTTTCGCGAACAATGGGCATTCGGATTCACCGGTGAGAGTCGGCTCTTTCGGCTCCTGTTAGCTGCTGTTCATGTTGTCATGTCTGCGTTGCAGTCAGTGATAACTGATAGAGGGTCGCTCTGTATGTATTACTCCTTAAATGACAAAAATAAACCTTTAAAAGATAAACAATAGACTAAAAATGCCCTTAAAATGCTTGATTTTAAGTTCCTGTAGAAGAACTAAAGCAGACACAGCAGAACTCATTAATACAGAATGGGTGTCCACAGACTTTTACCCTGTAATGTGAGCAATGCAAGCAGAACTAAAGGGTCCAGCCCAACACACTGCCTACTGACCACTTTATTAGGGACGCCTCGGTCAATAAACACGGTGTTACAGAATAGACTTTTCCCCTGAGACACATCATTAGGCTTGGGATTGTAAACCGTAAAGAACATTATAAGTGAAAAAAAGGATCAATGCAGACAAATATAAAATATAGAAATACATAACTAGATTTTTTTTAAAGTACATTCAAATTATTCTGGTTTAATTTGTACTGTATTTCTGATTTTAAAAATAAGTCTGATTTTTAAAAATTTCACTATTGATAGAAGAACAAGAAAAAATCTGTAAGATTTGTTGATTTCGAGTAATCTGTTTAATGCAGGGCCAAATACGTCACACGTACTGTTTTCCCTCTACAAATGCTTTTGACAGTGAGGACAAATCATTTGTTTCCTCATCCCTCCCTGTCTAAGCGATTTTTATTTTTTATCCACAGCTAGATCATTTTGAATATCTGCCAGTGGGGACTTTTATTTTGAAAAAGGTGTGTTTGGCTCGGAGAGTGGTCGTAGCGCTCTTCCGACGGTGTGAATTTCCTGGTGTGTGTGTTGTGAGCTGAGAGTGAGCGGGTAGGACAGATAAACTCTCCGGTTCTGTCTGTTTTATCGCTTTAATTAATTCCTTTATCTGTTCTGTTCACCTCTGTGCGTTCTCGGCTCTCAGGGTCTCTTTCTGTGCAGGGCGGAGTGGTCAGGGGGTGATCTGGTGACGGAGTGACAGAGAGACAGAGGAGCAGAAGGTAAGAGTCACTCACTTATTCACAAAAACACACATTAAACATGAACCTGGGGGAATTAAACTCATCGCGACCCCTGATAGTAATGAAAACACTGCCTGGTAGCGACTGGAGCAGTGAACCCAGGCTGAGCTTCGGCAGTTTATTAGTTCAGTTATTCTCATACATACACTTAAAGGGGAACTCCACCTAATTTTCCAAATTTGCTGCATAATTAAATGGTTAAGATGTAAACAAAGTCATTCAGAGTGGTTTGGTGTGATATTCTCTGTTCTAGAGTCAGAACTGTTCACAGTGGTGGTGATAGGAACCAGACATCCACCTCTAAAAGCTCCCTCACAGAAAGATGTTACATTAAATGGATATACGCTGACTGATGTCTGAGGCATTGTTTTATGATAGATTCGTCATAAAGGTTTGGCTCAAAATGTAGTTTAATCCATGTATTTTAATCCAGGGGCGCCGGGCATCCAGCACAGTTTGGTGGTTCCCCTCTTCAAACACATCCACTGAACCTGGCTATTAACAGATGAGGGTAATCAGGTGTGCTTCAGCAGGTAAATCACCAGACTGTGCTGGACACCTGCCATCCAGGAACAGAGCAGTGGACCCCTGTTTTAATCTGTTCATGGTGGAGTGATACATGCAGGGTGGTTTGAGGCAAAATAGTCCCCAAATAAAACGTATTATTTCAGATTTCCCACTATTCAGAACCCAGAAGACTCGTGTAGGTTCACTGGTGGTTCTGGATAGTAAATAAAATGTCTATATTTGTGTTGTAGTCATGGCAACCCCTGGTTCCTATCACCACCACTGTAAAGACATCTGAGTCTCTATAATCAACCATTTTTTACACAAACCAGTCTGAATGACTGAATCAAGCAGAAGTGTTGGAAAAATGGTGGAATTCCCTTTTAATTCTGTACTAAACGAAATAATATACTGCCGTTAAGTACTATTAAGATACATTGCTGGTTAAATCCAGACCGTGCTCTGTAATAGTGCAGCATACTTTTCTCTTTTGTTACAAAGACTACTGTGCTACTAAATACTGCTGTTAAATTGACTTATACAATTACAATTAAAAAAATAAGTGAAAGTGAAATAATTAAGTAAAACAATAAGCTAAATTATAGCCAGGTATGACCAGTTCACGTCAATTCAATTCAGTTTTATTGTCGTTCTACATGTACGGGGGTTCAGCATAACAAAACACATTTGTGCACATATACTAGTGGGATAACAGACAGTGTATATATACACACAGTAAGTGCATCTACAGTAAATAAACAATAAATACAGTATAAACTAGAGAGAGAAGTGTACTGGTGTATAGACAGTGTGCATATGTATGTGCAAAATCTGTGAAATATTCGAGTCAATTTTTAGAGGTAGTGTTCAGTAAACAATGGCATGCATGTCAGTTGAAGTTAGTTCCAATGTCCAGTCCAGCTTCCTGATCAAATATTTTAAAGGTGCTTATGTGAGAAATGCAGTCTTAGAGCTCACGGACGAATCTGATACATGATGGAATACAGTAAAAACTTAGTCAGCCATGAATGAACATTATTTCTTCTTGTTTGTTCATGTTTCTGGTCATGTTAAGCTGGACTTTAGCCCCGCCTCTGATTTCTGATGACGTCACCCTGCACCAGCAGCCAGGAAAACAATAATATTAACCAATAATAACATTGGTTGTGTTCGTGGAGAAAAAGTGCTCAGTTTAACTAATGTGACATTCATCATAACTAGGATATCAGAATTTTCCAACTTGGAATCTCCTGCTTTCCACCAAGGAAGGCTTTTACACCAAACACAGTGTGAATAACCACACAGTGTGTTTTTTCTGATTCATCAAAACTATGAATACCAAACGTGTCCAGCGACGCGGGAAGGTGTTTAAAGTTGGGAGGGTGAAGAAATGTTTGTCTGTGTATTGGTAATGTGTTAAATACTGTGTGTGTGTTTTTTTTTTTCATTTAAAATCATTTGGGTAATTGTACGATCGACCCAGCATTCGCTGAGGGTGCCTACACACTAGAGGCTGACGCAGTGTCAGAAACGCAGTCGCCCAGTGCATTTCAGCGAGGACGCTGCGGCAGCTCTGTCGGACTACAAATGTCCCTGTATGCAGTGAAACGAGACTTCGTCCAGCGTCGAAAAAGCTTAAACCATTTCAACTTTTGTTGCAACGGATTCTGACGTGGAGGCACGTCAGCCAGTAGAAACATGCAGGTGGAAGATGGTGGACAGTAGTGACGCTGTGCACTCTCTTCCTGTTCTATATGACTTCTTTGCCTTCCTGACTGTTGTCTGCTTGGCTCTGTCCGTGGCCATTGCCAAAATTTTCTTTCGATGGTCCATATTTCTTTGTTTCTGGTGCAAATGTTCAGTTTCCCGCTGGATTTTGAACTGTACAAACTCCGCCCTGCTCCAGCTGTGTACACGCCTTCTAGACAGACATCTGCATGTGTATGCATGTACCGCTCTGTCCTTGCATTGTCTAGTGTGTAGGCACCCTGATGCTCACCCTGCTGCCCCTGCTTTCTCTTGCAGGATGAATTTTATGCAAAATAATTGAGCGTCGACCAAACAGGTTGTCAGTATGTGGTGGGAAACTGCCCATAATCAAGCTCCACTCATACATCCAGCAGGTGCTTATTACAGTGGTCCAGAAACATGAGCAAGTGGGAGATGAGTACATTGGCTGAGAATGTGAACATTTTAAAATTATATCAGGCCACATCTGGGCACAGAAACATTCTACAGCTCCTTCTTTTAGTGACACTCCTCAAATCAGCAGCTGGTGAGGAAGTGAATGAGTTCGTACTGAAATGCAGTGCTGGCTTTATCTGTGCACGGCTACTGTAGATTTTGAAGATATTGTCGCTGCCACACAAAAACCTTGTATCTCTTTTTTTTTATATATGTTTTTATCATTTTTATATAAAACTCTAGTTACACTTTGCAGTGTGTCAAAATGTCATAATAAACAGACTGATATAAGTGGTCCGAAGTTACTTTGGGGAAAAAAAAATCTGGTTACATTAATTTCCATTACAAGTTAACAATGTTTTTATCTTCTGTAAAGTTACCATTTTAGAGATATGAAGTTTTTGTCCGACAGTGATGAAGATATAAAAATAAACTAACTAACACTTACAAAAGCACACGTGGGTCTTTGCCTTTTCAGCTAAACAAAAAGCCACTTCCAGCGTTCCTGGACAAACAAGCAAATGCAATGAAAATACATTGTTCTCACGATGCGAAGGCGAGCTGTTCTCCATTGCGGAAAAGTGAAAGTAGTGTAGGGAGCTTCATCACCTCATTCAGGAGCTGAAACGTTGAGAGCTTCCATGTGCAGCTCTGATATCTGTAGCTCTGTTTGCCTAGTTTAAGCCGCTTTTGGAGATGCTAACGCCGCCCGTTACAAAGCAGAGAGCAAACTAGTCATTTGATGCTTGTGCAAACAGTTCTTCATGCTGGGACACAGGCAGTCTGTCATCTTGGCTGTCACCATGGCGACACCAGTGATGGCTGTGATTGGTCAGAGAGTTAGCAAAAATTGAGCAGAGGGCGAATAAAATAATGTTGCTTTTTTCTCGTCTGAATAAATTGCACTTAATGTGCAAGATATCATCAGTAAAACACGTGCCTGAATAAATCGCAAGGATTAATGTGTGCATATGAGCTTTTGTTTCTAGGAGCTCAGGACTGACTTTCTCTCTAACCTACTGGTAACTAGCAAAGATACTTTCTCTGGATAGACAAAGCACTTTTTGTAAGTCGCTCTGGATAAGAGTGTCTGCTAAATGCTGTAAATGTTAATGTAAATATGAAAAGCTCTTTAAAAGGATTTACACTGGAATTAGAGTTTGTTTGGTCACCACTTCATTAATGGTAAAAGTGGACAAAAGGCTAAAGCAATTCATTGTTCATGTAGCACAGATAATGACATGAAAGCATTCAGGTTGATTAAAAATCTGTACTGGAGAGCTTAAATTAACAGTGATCCAGGTATCTCTCTGCATTTAGCCGTATTATACACAAACAGCAACTCAAAAGTTTGTTTTAAAAGTTTAAAATGCTTTTTGGGTGCTGGAATGAACCACTTGGAGAAGTTGGGTACCTGCAAGATTCTGACTTTCCGAGTAGGTAAAGTTGTGGTGTGATGTTCAAATGGATTTTTCTGGCTTGGACGTCAGAAACTTCCCGTTTATCATGAACTCAACATCAGAGACTCTCCCTAATATTGTGTTTCAGTTGGAAATACATAGCGGTGTAGAAAGAAAGAGCTCTGTTCACAGGGACTTTAGCCAAGCTGCATTTCTCACGTGTGAACAAGAGTGAGTGTTCAGACCTTTCATTGTGCAGCAGTAGGTCAGGCTCTTCCTGGTCTTTCTGCATTTCTGTGATAAAGTCAGTTTGAATAAGTGAACTGTAAAGAGTAGATAAGGTGCTGTGTGTCCTTGTGAAAGTGAAAATAACAGTCATCCGTTGGCAGTGGTGCATATTTTTCTGGTGTGTGGAGTTACTATCATATCTCTGTTCTCAGCAGAGGTGGGTGGGATCTATCTCTGTTTACTCAGTTTTGTAGAGTAAAAACAAAGCGAATTTCCAAAATCAGTAAACCTGATTTTAGGTAGCTGATCATGCTCGACCTACACACGCTCATTGTGCTCAAGTTCACCCTGCACACACTTGTCCTGCTGGAGCTCAAACTGCAAATGATCATCCAGCTCAAACTCGTCCTGCACACGCTTGTCCTGCTCGAGCTCGTCCTGCTCGAGCTCGTCCTGCTCGAGCTCGTCCTGCTCGAGCTCGTCCTGCTCGAGCTCACCCTGCAAATAATTATCCTGCTGAAGCAAATCCTGCACGCGCTCATCCAGCTTGAGCTCGTCCTGCTTAAACCCGTCCTGCTCGAGCTCGTCCTGCACACACTCGTCCTGCTCGAACTCGTCCTGCTCGAGCTCTCCCTGCACACCCTCGTCCTGCACACACTCGTCCTGCTCGAGTTCGTCCTGCACACACTCGCCCTGCTTGAACTCGTCCTGCTCGAGCTCGTCCTGCTCGAGCTCGTCCTGCACACACTCGTCCTGCTCAAACTCATCCTGCTTGAACTCGTCCTGCTCGAGCTCGTCCTGCACACACTCGTCCTGCTCAAACTCATCCTGCTCGAACTCGTCCTGCTCGAGCTCGTCCTGCTCGAGCTCGTCCTGCTCGAGCTCGTCCTGCTCGAACTCGTCCTGCTCGAACTCGTCCTGCACACACTCGTCCTGCTCGAACTCGTCCTGCTCGAACTCGCCCTGCTCGAACTCGCCCTGCTCGAACTCGTCCTGCACACACTCGTCCTGCTCGAACTCGCCCTGCTCGGGCTTGTCCTGCTCAAACTCGCCCTGCTCGAGCTCGTCCTGCTCGAGCTCGTCCTGCTCGAGCTCGTCCTGCTCGAGCTCGTCCTGCACAAACTCGTCCTGCTCGAGCTTGTCCTACTCGAGCTTGTCCTGCTCGAGCTTGTCCTGCACACACTCGTCCTGCTCGAGCTCGCCCTGCACACACTCGTCCTGCGCACACTCGTCCTGCTCGAGCTCGCCCTGCACACACTCGTCCTGCGCACACTCGTCCTGCTCGAGCTCGCCCTGCACACACTCGTCCTGCACACACTCGTTCTGCTCAAACTCGTCCTGCTCGAGCTCGCCGTGCACACACTTGTCCTGCTCGAACCCGTCCTGCACGAACTCGTCCTGCACACGCTCGTCCTGCTCGAACTCGTCATGCACGAACTCGTCCTGCACACGCTCGTCCTGCTTGAACTCGTCCTGCTCGAACTCGTCCTGCACACGCTCGTCCTGCTTGAACTCGTCCTGCTCGAACTCGTCCTGCTCGAGCTTGCCCTGCACACACTCGTCCTGCGAGTGTGTCCTGTACTGTATTGTACTGACTGTAATGACTGACTCAATTTGACTGTACCAGCTGTACTGTATTGACTGTAGTTTACTGTACCAGCTGTGCTGTATTGACTGTAGTTTACTGTACCAGCTGTACTGTATTGTACTGTGCTGAACTGTGAAGTCTGCGCTGACTGCGTGACTCAGGGCCTCCACTGGGAGCAGGAAGTGTAGGTTATTTGTCTGTATGTGTAAGTGACCCATGATTCCTGACTCACAGTGAAACACACCCAGGAGAGATTAGAGCTGTGTGATTAAAGCCCTGTGCTTATTTACTCTGATACTACTGCTGCTCTTAGTGCTCTTATTACTGTTAATAAGAGTTCACCACAACTAATAAAACATACAGGCCCTCTGACACTCTCATACAAAATAAACATAACATGTATTATTCAAGAGAATTAATTTATATATAACATTACACATTTTTTGTAACACAATGTTTAATTTAATTGGTAGTCATAAACATAAACTATACAGCAATTAATAAAACATTGTAGTTATGCAATAAATACAATATTAATTATTTTTTATATTATACAGGCAATTATACTTGACAATTAAGCTGATATTAAGTATAATTATGTTGTAATTATTAATACATAATAACAATAATAGTTCTTTAAAAGGATTAATTAAGTGTAGTATTAAATTATTTATAGATCTATGGATACATCTCTGTTTCTTTTTTACTCTCTCTCTCTCTCTCTCTCTCTCTCTCTTTTTCCTCTCTCTCTCTCTGTTCTCTCTATGTCTCTCTCTCCCTCTGTTCTCTCTAATGATCAGGATGCTGAGAGCTGGTCAGTGAGACGATGAAGTCCAGTAGGGATATAGAGAGAAAGGCTGGTTACCTGCAGCCAGAGCACTGCGCCCCTCCCCCTCCTCACCCGCCCTCGTCAGGACAGATGTGGTTCATCCGGGATGGCTGTGGGATCGTGTGCGGCGTGATCACCTGGTTCCTGGTGTTCTACGCGGAGTTTGTGGTTGTGTTTGTGATGCTGCTGCCGGTGAGGAACGTGGCGTACAGCCTGGTGAACGGAGCGCTGTTCAACACACTCGCCTTCCTCGCCCTCGCGTCACACTTCAGGGCCATGTGCACCGACCCGGTGAGTCTACGGTCAACACCAGCCTCATCAGCCTGCAGATCACAATATCACAATCCAAACCAGGGGTCGTTAACTGACCCAGCGGAGTGTTTCAGCAGACTGAACTGAGCGCTTGGAAAAAACTTTGTAGCAAAGCCCATTAACAAATGTAAAAATTGGTCATATTTCAGTGATACATGAACATGAACCAGCACAGCTTCTGCAGCAGAGCTGTTTTTCAGTTTATCTGATCACATGCATTCACACTCATCAGAGCAGAGACTGCAGGGCTGGATATCAGATCAGAAAGAGAATCATTTCACATATTTTCATAGATTTTATATGTTATTACTGTTTCTGCTCTGATAGTGGACATGACGTGTTAAGCAAAGGAAAGTTGATAATAGAAATAGTGACTAGAGAACTCTTTGTTTTTCTCCCTGTTTCAAGTACAAAAGCACTGAATCTGTTAAGAGTTTGTGGTTCTGATAAATTAACCTGTCAATAAAAATCACTTCTGAGGACGAATAAAATAACTACATCTCTTAACATTTAGAATCCTCCAGAACCATCATCATGTACCAAAATCAGTCGTAATTCATTTTTACATGACCATTTTTGAAACTCTCTTTATCCCTTAGAATTAAACAGGATGTTTCTGTTACTGTGACTAATATATGTAGATGAGCTCTGTTCTGATAGGCTGTGCCTCATTCAGAAAACAGTTCAGGCTGAAACACTCTTTATAACTTCAGTATGAGTGGGCAGAGCGAAACTGCTGTAGTGGATGTATGTATAATATATAACGTATAAATATAATGTAATATTATGTTATATACATAAAATAAGTTTGTATATGTAAATAAGTTGGTTCTTGTGATGTCATCACAGAAACAGTGTCTTCAAAACGGGCTGCTTATGAAAATAAGCTACGTCAGCTGTTGAAGACGTTCCTTTAGTAAGAATTTCTGCATAATTCAGTGGTTGAGATGTAAGCAGAGTCATTCTGAGCGGTTTGGTGTGAAATGGTTGATTTTAGAGCAGGGATGCCCAAACTTTTTGTCTCGGGGGTCCAGAGTTAAATGTTTGTAGTGGGCCGAGGGCCAAAAACAAAACAATAGACAAATTAAGTGTTTTAAAATGTACTTTCTAACATTACACTATATCTTTTATATTTTCTATGCTATATTATAGTCTTCTTCAAAAATGCAGTTTAAAATGTTTTTTCTTTTCTTTTGCCCATAGGGGGCAGTACCAAAGGGAAATGCCACTAAGGAGTTCATAGAGAGTCTGCAGCTGAAACCAGGCCAGGTGGTCTACAAGTGCCCCAAATGCTGCAGCATCAAACCAGAACGAGCACACCACTGCAGGTAAACCCACTAACCGGCCACTTTATTAGAAACATCTACCTTGTGCTTCCACTAACCAGCCACTTTATTAGAAACATCTACCTTGTGCTTCCACTAACAGGCCACTTTATTAGAAACACCTACCTTGTGCTTCCACTAACAGGCCGCTTTATTAGAAACACCTACCTTGTGCTTCCACTAACCGGCCACTTTATTAGAAACACCTACCTTGTACTTCCACTAACTAGCCACTTTATTAGAAACACCAATTTTGTGCTTCCACTATTTGGCCACTTTATTAGAAACACCTGCATTACAGCTCCAGTATGTAGGTATACAGTTACAAACTGTGGTCCATCTGTTCTTTACAGTTTATCAGTTGTTTCAGTTTTAGTAAATCAGTTTGATGCAGCGCCACCCTGAGGGAGACCAGTGCTGCAGCTTTAGTTAGATGGAAATTCCACCAATTTTTTATTTCTGAATAATTTAGTTTGCGATGGTAAAAGTGATACACAGTGATTTGGTGTGAAATGGTTCAGATGTCTTTACAGTGGTGGTGATAGAAACCAGGGGTCGCCATGACTACAACACAGATATAGACATTTTATTTACTATCCAGAACCACCAGTGAACCTACACGAGTCTTCTGAGTTTATATGGAATGTTGATGATGGAAAATAGTGGAAAATCTGAAATAATAAGTTTTCTTTGGGGACTATTTTGCCTCACAGCGCCCTGCATGTATCCCTCCACCATGAATGGAGTTTAAGTTCTCTAAACTATCATAAAACAGTGTCTCAGTCATCAGGCAGTGAATTCATAACCATTTACTGTAGGAACTTTCTGTGAGGAGCTTTTAGAGGTGTTTATTTTCAGGGACCCCTTAATTAATTTTGATCGTGAGGCTCTCTCCTGGTTTTATTAGGGAGTCCTTCATGCCTTAGTTGTTGGATTAAATGGGATTTCAGCTCAGTTTACTGCTCACATCTCCCTCCTCTTTGCTGTACAGATGGATAAAGTTAAGGTGAGCTGAGTAACAGAGAATTAAGGTAAATGGAGTGAAATTGGATTTGGAGCATTTGTGATGAAGCAGTTTGAGGATAAATCTAGTTGAGTAGAATTGAATTACGAGTGCGCCCTGGCTTTGCTCCATCTGTGGAGGGGATTCTGATTGAATTTAATAGGTATTAAAGCACACTGTGGAGATTAAAAACCAGAGGAGGTCAGTCTGTTTTCATGAAACAAGTCTCATGAGAAAATTGTAGGGGTGGGCATTATGACAATGACAAAAAAATCAAGGTAATGATAAAATATGACACAATATGCTTTTCTGAGCGTATGATTGATATCGTCCGTAACACGTAACTATGTGTTTCGTTACAAAGTGAACATAATTAGTTCTGTTTAATTGAATTTAGTGCAGTGTAGTTTGTAGTTTTTAAAACACTGAATAAAAACCTTTGTAGTTCATAAATAGTGTATGTTTTTATGATTATTATAATATTTTTCATGTGGCACTAGAGGTCCTATTTTGTCTGTTCCAACTTATTAAATCTCAGAATATTGTGATGTGTAATGTATATCATGAAACGGTCTTAAATTATCAAGATACAGTATTTTTGCCACATTGCCCACCTCTATGAAGTTGCTTGATTATCATTTATTGATATTCATTGTGTTCAATGGGTGGGAAAAAGGTTATCCAACACCAACTGGCCCTGTGTGATAAAAGTAATCACCCTCTTAGTTCCCCAGTTAACAAAATTAATAGTTGATTAATGGGTTCAATTCAACTAAACATATCCAGGCTCGATCACTGCCATCCCTGTTGAATCTAAACATCTTAACTTAAAGAGAACTTTTCCAGCAGTGTGAAGGAAGCTAAAAGCGATCTAAAGACTCTATGTAAAGTTATTAAAGTATATCAGTCTGGAAAGGGTTACACATCTATTTCTAAGGACCTGGGACTTTTGACTGGAAATTAAATAAAAGAAGGTGGTCTCTGACCCGATTTAAAAGTTTGTCCCTTTGAACACTTCAGACGTCTGGTTCCTATCACTTAGAGCTCACTGCAAAAACTCATTTACAGTTATTTGATGTGAAATACTTCAGTCTTGGGTAACTTACTGACTCAGAAATCTGACTTAAGTTTCTCTAGAACTGAGTGTTTCACACCAAACCACTCTGAATGACTCTGTTTACATCTTCACCATTTAATGATGCAGATTTCCCAAATTTAATTTTATTAATTATTAACAAAATATCATCTTGTATTGGGATAATGTAATACATTTGGACAATATTGTAATATTAAATTATAAACATATCCCCCACCTCTATGAGTAGGTGTGTGTAAATAGTGTGCACTATACAGTCATTAAAAAGTTTGAACACCCCTGGTCAAATTCCATGTTGTTGTTGATTTTATACGCGGAAATAAGTGAACACGTCCTCTACAGAGAACACATTTAAATAAAAGGCATTTTTTCCCTGCAGTTGTTAGAGCACAGTGTCTATTTATTTTCTGAGTTTAACATGGAAAACAAAAACATAATATATAAAAGGTGCCATAACTTTTGCACAACCCACATTTTATGTTTTATTTTTTCTCCAATATGTCAAATCCAGCAAATAAGCAGTGATTGCGTATTAAAGTGTGCAGAATTGTGTGTCTGTAGAGGATGTGTTCACTTACTTACACTCAAATCATCAAAAATGATCAAAATCAACAACATGTACCTTCAACCAGGGGTGCACAAACCTTTGCACGCGACTGTGTAAAACCAGTTGTAATTGACTTTGAGTCTGGCCTGCAGCCGCACTGGGAGAGACTGAGAGATGCACCGTGACCTACATTCATACTGAAACTCTCTCTCTCTCTATTTCTCTCTCTTGTTCTGTTTCTATCTCTCTCTCTCTGTCTGTCTGTTCTTCTCCTAGTGTCTGTAAGCGCTGCATCAGGAAGATGGACCACCACTGCCCGTGGGTGAACAACTGCGTGGGTGAAAACAACCAGAAATACTTTGTGCTCTTCACGGTGAGTGCAGACACCCCGCACCGCACTGCACCGCCCCACCAGCCTTCATACAGCACAGCTATTACTGATATTTAAAGGGCTCATATGATGGAAAACGCTTATTCGTTCAAATAAAACAGTTTCGTGTTGTATGTAAACATTGTTCACCTTCACTCTGCGTATTTTGAAACTAAGCTGCTAAAATAGACTGTTTTGGATTCATTGTTTTTGTGATGTCACAAAATACAGTGCATGTACAGTCGTATGCAAAAGTTTTGGTGCCACTCGTCAAATTTCATGACTTTCTAAGTGAAAATAAGTCAACACGTCCTTTACCGAGGACACATTTCTGCTCATTTTAATACACGTTTACTGTTTGTTTACTGAATTTAACACATTTGGAAACAATAAAACATAAAGTGTGGCCTGAGCAAACGTTGTTTTATTAGGTCAGTACTTTGTGGATCGGTTAGTGACCGTGTATTTATTTGTTTGTGTATTTTTGCAGATGTACATTGCCCTGATATCACTCCACGCTCTCCTCATGGTGGCGTTCCATTTCATCTTCTGCTTCGAGGAGGACTGGACAAGTAAGAACAGCGTTCAGTTGTTTTTCTTTCTGGGTCGGTTTCTCACATCCATATTAATCATAGGCCTTTAAAAAGGTTTTGATGGTGAATAACCACTAGTATTTCGGGTAACACCGGGTCTGGTATTTTGTCAAAATGGCTCCAAACCGAAGGTTCTCAACCTTGTCCACCTCAAGGCCCACCCATTTATCATTAGAAAGCATGAAGGCCCCCAGTTTTTTGGGTGATTTTCAACCCAAAACACTGACGTTTATCATAGAACATCAAATATCAACAGACTGGTTGCAAATTATATGGAATATTTCAATGTTGTGGGGTGGAATTTGTTTTATTTCTAGAGGCAGGTGCAAAAAAGCTGCCTTTGCGCTCCGTTGTTACAGGGCTTGTGTTAATATTGTTTACACTTTTTTCTTTATTTTTTTTCTTTTCTTCATGGGCCCACTACAGACCACTTGCCCACCTCAGTATTGGCCTGAAGACCACCAAAGGGTGCTTCACACCCTACTCGTGGTCCACACTCCAGCGGTTGAGACACCTTGCTCTAAACCACAACTTCAAGGCTGCACCACCGGATGCGGTCTGAGAGGGTTGAGAGGTGTTTTTGGGGGTCTATTTTCACAGAAACTGTTTGGGCTATTTGGGTGACTACTGGCTTCTAAGTGTTTGTTAGCAACGTTAGCCTTGTATCTCCAGCATTAAAAGCAAAGAAGCACAATTTGGACACCGAACGTGTCTTTGCTGATCGACTACATCTGGAAGATCGTGTCAGTTAGATTTTGCGAAGAAACCCCGAAACTACGTCTCTGCCACTTCTGTATTTTTACAGGAACAAAAGGAAGTCTCGCCTGTTGGGATAGAGCCAGTTTCCCAAGTGACCTATTTCTGGTCTGACTTTCAGTTGTTTCCCTGTTGCCTCAATAGAGACACAGGGAAGTTAAGAAATGCAGCTGTTGTGCGGAAACTGCAGTCCACACCCCAAACACACAGCAGAGTCTTAGAGAAATAAGCATGTAATTTTAGCAAATCTGGACAAAAATCTGTAGGACAAAGCAGCTGACTGTGTTTACATGCAAAGATTTTTGCCAATCCGATTGAATACATTGAAATCATTTAGACTGAGGTGTTTGTTCTCACTCTACTCAACAGTCTGGTGGAAAATCTCCATCTACATGCTCATTACAAGTAATCAGATCAAAAATGACATGCTTGTGTAGAGAACCACTTAGTGTAGACGTTACCATGACAACCAGCATCACGTGAGTCCAGTCAGAGTGAGATGAGCAGCAGTGAGCAGCGCTTGTGTTTTTAATTGCTTTAAAATGATGTCAGACTCAGGAAAACGTCCTTCACATGTCCTCATTAAAGAAGGCCGAGAGGAAGACGTCGTGTTCTGAGACACATAAGCTGGACGTCCGTCCCACCGCCGTCTTTTAAAGATCAGAGCATAAACTTCGTCTCCTCTGCAGACCAGTTTCTGCTCCGCCATGTTGAATGTTATAAACGGACTTAAACTTTCCGATAGGGAATGTAATCAGATACAGGCGTTTATACGAATATTATTCTTCTATTTAACGGATTATTTACAGGATTACCCACCTCGATCAATCGGATAGAAACTGTATTCCGAATGGCCTCAATCGGACTAGACTATTCCGATTGAGGTGTTTACAGGGACGTATTCTATCCCGATTGAGCTATTAGTCGGATTGTTAACGGATGATTAGGCTGCATGTGAACGTGGATACTGTTACGCCATAACAGCAAAAAACTTTATCCGGGTGGTTAAAGTAGGTAGTGCTCCACTGGTACAACAGGATGTTGTACTAATTCTGTTTAACCAAGACATTAGAAAAACAAAGCTTTTTAAACTGATATTCCCAGGTTGATAACTTCACGGCCTTGTGTGGTTAATTTTTGTCATATTACCATGAACATAAACCACCACCATTTCATTTCGTTGCAGTGTTTAATAAAGAAGCATTCACTTTATAATCCCACTGCTCATCCAAAAACACCTGACCCAAACATGATCCAACTGAACTTACGGTTCTAGTTCATTTGTAAACAATGTCTTAGACATCAGGTAATACATTCACAACCATTTCATGTAGTAACTTTCTGTGAGGGAGCTTTTAGAGGTGGACGTCTGGTTCCTATCACCACCACTGTGAACAGTTCTGACTCTAGAACTGAGCATTTCACACCAAACCACTCTGAACAAGTCTGTTTAAGAATCTTAACCACTGAATTCTGCAAAATTTTTGTGTCGGTGGAGTTCCCCTTCAGGCATCCTCCTCAGCACTGACAGCTGAAGCCAACAACAGTTTAGTGAATTTATTACTCGTTTAGAAGAGCCAAGCACTGTTACATCCCCAATAAAGGCGCCGGAACGTGAACTAGGACGGCAGGCTGGTGTTTTCATTGCTATTTTTGGAATGATTTCTTTGTAGAGAGTTCAGTGTTAGGGGAAGTGAGCTAAAGGGCGTGGGAAGAAAGAGGGTTCTTGCTCATATTTTCACACTCGGCAGAGCTTTATTCGTTTCTACATCTGATTCTGTGTAACTGTAGACATCTGTGTGAGCGTCAGGACAGTGCAGTGTATCGTTTTATATCAGCCCATTGTGCTAAGCTAACTAGCAATGAAGATAAATAGCCATACTAGAAGCTTTTTAGTTACATAAAATGACCAAAAAGAAGACTAAATCATTAATACTGGCCATTTACGAACAGTTCCAGCTGTCTGAGCCGGTGGGAAATGAATGAATGAAGTTCAGTTGGATCCTGTTTGTGTCAGTTGTTTTTTTTTGTGTACATTGTGGAAAACATCTTTATACAGTGAAGATTTCTCTGTTAAACCCTGCGGTGAAATGTAAGGCTAGTTTATGTTCATGGTCATATGACAAGAGCTAAACCACACAAATGTGTGAAGTTATTAACCTGGGAAGATTAAAAAAGTTCTATTTTTCCAATATCTCTGTTAAATAAGTACAAAATCCTGTTGTATCAGCTCTTTGCTGTGGTGATGTAGCACTGATAGACCCCATGTGTCAGACACAAGGCCCACGGGCCAGATCAGGCCCGCGGCACAATCCTGTCTGGCCCACAAAAATATTTTAATTTTCTGTTAACATTAACCCGTTTCATAATGCGCTGCACTACAGTCCCCAGCATGCACTGCAACGTAATGTACACTCTGACTCTCCTCCCCAACAACAGTCTATGGGACAGCAGTTACACCTTAATTCTACACAGTTCTACACCAGTCATATAACCAAAATGCATTTCAGCTGCAGTTCAACCAATATAAACACTGTCAGCTCAGCAGCTCAGAAACTGAGCCCAAGTCTTAATGAACGTGCAGCAAAGAAAGGATGGCAGCTGTCCAGTTCAAGCAGATAGGTGGGTTTAAAAAGGCTGAGCTACTGGGGACGTTTAATTTTCAATATTTCAAGTATTCATGTAATATTGCAAGATCTACTAAAGTTTTTGCGTATTTTGAATAAACAATGACCAGTTTGGGTTACAGCACAACATTAATGAGAAATAAAATAAAAACATAGTCGTTCTCTGACCCACAGATTTGATTAGATTTTTTAATGTGGCCCCTTTTAGTGGTTGAGTTTGACACCCCTGATCTACACTGTTCTAAAACTCACACAGAATCAAGTGTAGAATCAAACAAATCTGACATTTCTCTCTGTCGAGTCTGAAAATATGAGCGAAAATATGAGCAAAAACACTCGGTCTGTGGCCTCTAGCATACATGCTGATAGCACTACAGGGTTCTTTAGTAAAGGCAACGGTTCTGTTTAGAACCTTATCATGCTTAAATGGTTCTTTGCCTGGTGAATCGGTTCTTCAGATCGATGGAGAATGTGCTGTATATTTTTGAAAATGGCTTCATATAGAACTGAAACGGGTTCTTTTAATGTTACGATGTCAAGCTTGTAACAGAAGAACCCTTTTTGGTGCTATACAGAACCATTTTCAAAAAGATTCTAAGTAGAACCACATACAACACATTCTCCACCAATCTGAAGGAACGATTTAACCCTGCAAAGAACCATTTAAGCATGAAACGGTTCCATGTAGAACTGATGGTTCTAAATAGAACCATTGCCTTTACTTAAGAACCCTTGAAGAGCCATCTTTTGTAATTGCGTAGCTTCTTTTAGCTTATTTCGCCTTGTGTTGAATTCTCTACTGAAGAATAGCAATCAACATCACCATACTGACCTAGTTTACGTGCTGATGATCGTATCAGTGATGGAATCTTTGGAGACTTCATCGTCTTCTGGAAGAGTCAAAGTTTTGCTAAATTATCAGTAGCTTCAGGGGTGTTTAAAAGCTCCAGCAGCACTGCTGTGTCTGATCCACTCAGACCAGCGCAACACACACTAACACACCACCACCATGTCAGTGTCACTGCAGTGCTGAGAATGATCCACCACCCAAATAGTACCTGCTCTGTGAGGGTCCATGGGGGTCCTGACCACTGAAGAACAGGGTAAAAGGGGGCTAACAAAGTATCAGAGAAACAGATGGACTACAGTCTGTAACTGTAGAACTACAAAGTGCACCTATATAGTAAGTGGAGCTGATAAAATGGACAATGAGCGTAGAAACAAGAGAGCAAAAACAGCCCGCCCTGCTGGTCAGAGCTGGTGTAACATGCTAAGTGTTAGCCAATTTATTAATTATTTTGACTGAGAAACTGGTGAAAATTTTTTTGATGGCTGAAATTGTATAAGTGATGCTAGAAATCTTATTTTGGCATTTTTGTGGTTTGTTACACAGGCAGTAAAAATAAAGTGGACGTTGGACTCCAGAACGCCCTTTAATTTCTTTTCATCTTAAGAATTCACCTTCAGGTTGTCCATAGGTGCAGTATGTTTAGGTTGGCAGGGTTGCTCCCCCTAATTCCCCTCTTCTCATCATAACCTTTTCTTCTTTATTACCATGAGGCTCCCAATCCAGCAGCTGGCCAAACTCCCAACTGCTCCAGACTTTGGTTCTGTCTAAGTTCCTCGATAAATCTGAGCCAAGTAATAAATGTGTGTAGATCACAGTTGACCTGGCTACGGTTAATGTTTACGGCTGCAACTACTGAATATTTTCAATTCTTGATATTCTACTATTATACTACACTGGATATATCATTAATATTATAAGAATGATTATTTAGTTTATTAACAGTGCCTAAATAAAACTGAATAGCTGATAAAGAGGACTTCCACCACTTTTTTAAACATTTCTGCATAATTAAATGGTTAAGATGTAACAGGTCATTCAGAGTGGTTTGGTGTGATATTCTCTGTTCTAGAGTCAGAACTGTTCACAGTGGTGGTGATAGGAACCAGACGTCCACCTCTAAAAGCTCCCTCACAGAAAGTTACTACAGTAAATGGTTATGAATTCACTGACTGATGACTGAAACACTGTTTTATTGTAGTTTAGAGAACTAAACTTCCATTCATGGTGGAGGGGTACATGCAGAGTGCATTCCATATAAACTCAGAAGACTCGTGTAGGTTCACTGGTGGTTCTGGATAGTAAATAAGATGTCTATATTTGTGTTGTAGTCATGGCGACCCCTGGTTCCCATCACCACCACTGTAAAGAGATGTGTACTATTTCACACTCTGTTTACATCTCAAACACTGAATTATGAGAGAATTTTGAAAAATTGGTGGAGTTCTCCTTTAAAGACCTGAAAATCTGAAAGGTGTCAGTGAAAAACGTGATGGGTAGCAGCGTACTGTGCTCCTCTGTCTGATCCCACCTGATGCAGTTTTCATAAATGTAATGAAAATATTGATTAAATTGATATGTATTGATTTTATTGATTTTTTGTTGCAGCCACATTAAATTCAGAGTAAGAGTGAGATTTAATTAATATGTAAATAAGGACTGATTTGAGGGGGTTTGATCGGCTGGATTATGAGCCTGACTCCATCCCTCCATCTTCCTTCCCTCGTTCCTCCAGAGTGCAGCTCCTTCTCTCCTCCAGCGACCGTCATCCTCCTCATCCTCCTCTGCTTCGAGGGCCTCCTCTTCCTCATCTTCACCGCCGTGATGTTCGGGACGCAGGTCCACTCCATCTGCACTGATGAGACCGTAAGTTGCACCCTGTTCCCCTCATCGAGGTCACCCTCACTGCTGATGTCACATCCTTTCATTCTTTTCTTTGTAGTTTTTTTTCTTTGTTCAGCGTAACGTATAACTCTTATTGTTTTCTTTACAACTGAGATTAAACAAAAGATTTTTATCTCTTTCAAAATGTGGCTACTCTTTTCAGACCCCCCCCCACTTTCATTTATTTAGGTTACATTCAAAACCAGTTACAAGTTATTAATTTTTCAGTGACAAACATATCTAACAGAAGATTAAACAGCTAAATCTAATCTCAGCTGTGTCAGTGAGTCACTCTTCACCTTTATTCCAGCTTCCATTCTTTTCAGGAGACTTTCAGTTCCTCAAAGAATCTGCAGACACACCTCCAAAGTTCAGTCTTAGAAGCTGGTTTCGCATTTTCTGCTTCTTACCATCCAAGTCATCTATCATGTGAACTCTACTCAAATTCTCATTCTAGTTTTGACTTTAGATTAAAATTTTTGTACAAACCAAAATGGAATATTTGTACATTTTATAATTTCTACTAGTTGTTTTGCACAAATAAGCAAAAACATCTTAAATGACACATTTTTGTTGACTTCTACATGGTTAAAATGTAGTTTTATTTTATTTATTTTTTTGTATTTACCAAAAAGCATAAGAATTTAAACCCTTTGCTACTGTTAACTAATAACCCACCTGGTTCGTTCTCATGAGGTATTAATTTTAGATTAGAAGTTTTAATACAAATATTTGTGGCAAAATGATGTCTTTTGTTTACAACAAAAAGCACCAAAAAGCCACAGAGAACACACTTCAGTTTTAATGCACAGTTTCTGTTTATTTATACGTTAATATATTTGCACAGGCCACAGTTTGTTTTCTTTCCCCAGTGTGTTAAATTCAGTAAATAAACACACCTGAAAATCAACAAAAACATGGAATTTGACCAGAGGTGCACAGACTTTTGCACACAGCTGTATGCTGGTTTTAATGGTCAAAATATCCTGTGATCGCGGGCATAAAATGTCTCAAGTGAATATTTGCCTGTTTTCCCTTTATCCTAAGTGAGCTTTTACAAGGAAAAATGAAACATATCCATAATTGTGAAATGGTATCAAGTTTCAGCACTTCAGGTTTTAAAGTTAACATGTTTAAATTTAAATTTACAGCTTTAAATTTAAACTTAATGTTTTAGACAAATACATTTGTTAAAGGATGTTATTTTGTAAAATAATACATTTTAGCAAATGTAGCTGCAGTATTGGTCAGGAAAAAAAGTTTCCCTCCAGATATTAAGTCAAAATTTAGTGAAAATAAGTCTTTAATTCCAGATACTGAGTCAAAATTTTAAGAAAATAAGTCTTTATTTCCAGACACTAAGTCTAACTGCCTGCTCAAGCATCACATACTTGCCTCATGTGGTTTCTGAAACTGTATGACACACTGTGATCTGTAAACATGGACAAAGCTGGAAATGAGTCATGTAGTTTGAAATGTGCCCGTATTTCAGTCCACGTTCATAAACGTGCTGGACATTGTGTAGGTTTGATTTTAAGGCCGGAGTGTTGTGGATTGTGTGGTTTCAGGGAATAGAGCAGCTGAAGAAGGAGGAGAGAAGATGGGCCAAGAAGTCCAAGTGGATGAACATGAAGGTGGTTTTTGGTCACCCGTTCTCGATAGCGTGGCTCAGTCCGTTCGCCACTCCTGACCACGGCAAAGCGGAGATGTATCAATACGTGGTCTGACGCGGGAATCCTCCTTCCCTATTGGACGCAGACTGATGATGCGTACAGGAAACACACTGTCGGTCACTGAGACAGACTCTACCACTCCACTCACTGTTTTCTACTGTTCTTTCTGCCAGACTCTGTGGGTTTCCAGGCTGTGTGGGACACCGAGGCTGACGTAATGTTTGCTTTAAAAGTCCTTTATTTTTGCTGATTTTAGTTTCGGTGGCTGTGCCTGTTGCTGTTTACGTTGTTGTTGTTTTTCGTTCTTCTTTCTGTTCACACCAAAGCCCTGAGTGCAGCCTTGTTTTTGCTTCTTGCTGTTTGCTTGAAACAGCCGGAGAGCAGCGTTATGACGCAAAGAACGCTGGGACACGTTTTAGGCTTTTTGTAGCTGTACCAGAGAAAGGTGACCATCCGGTGACTCGTTTTGGTCGGTTGCCATTAGCCTGACCGTGAGTATAAGAAAACGTTCCCCTTTATTCCTGACTGTTCTAGTTGGCACAGTTTTCCATTGTTTTTTAGAAGAGCTTGTAGGAGCTTTGAGATGTTTAAGTAATATAAATCTACTGAGCTCAGTTCTAAAACTAATGACTTCTCTGAAAACTGTGGAGGCCCCTTCCCACCAGATAGAGAAAAAAAACGCATATGGTTTATTCCTTTCGTCAAAATGTCGACTTACAATCTTGAAATAACTACTTAAATTCCTGAAATGTTGATGCCTTCCTTATTTTCTCATAAAGCTTATTTAGTATGTATTTTAATAAATCAAGACTTTATTATACCAAAATAATTACTTACTTTCTCAAACTGTTGACTTTGTATCTTAAATAATGACATACTATGTTGAAACAAAGGCTAATGCTTTCATAATTTTGACTTATCTCGCAATAATGGCTCATCAACCCAGAAATAATTACATACTTTTCTAAAATTTAAAGTTTCTATTTCGGCATGGTAAGTCATTATTTCAAGTTGCTAAGCCAACAATCTCAAGAAAATTCATTGTTTCAAAATTCGAAGTCAAATTTCCAAGAAAATAAGTGATTAGTTCAAGATTCTATCTCAACATTTTGAGATATTAGTCTTTATTTCCAGATACATTTAGAGAGTAAATAAGTCGTAAATTCCAGATAATAACTCAACATTTTGAGAAAATAAGTCTTTATTTCCAGACACTAGATCAACATTTTGAGTAAAGAAGTCTTTATTTCCAGACATTAAGTCAAAGTTTGAGAAAATTAGTCTTTATTTCCAGATACTAAGTCAAATAATAAGTCATTATTCTGACACTGTAATGCATTATTTTGAGATGCTATGTCAATATTTCAAGAAAAGTCATTATTTTGAGATACTAAGTCAAAATTCTGGGGAAAATTTTTTTTCCTCCTCTACCTGGCAGGAATGTATTTCCATACGATATAGCCTAAAATGGCGGCAGTTCACTTAAAGGGAAAAAAGCATTTTTAGGTAAGAATGTGAACATATGTTTGAATGTTTGGGGAACATAATCTGTAAGACTTGAAGAGTTTAACGTAATAATAACCGTAAAGGAAACACTGAAGCTGATGTAGAACAGCAGAGCTTTGCTGTCTTGACGGTTACGTTTAAAAACGAATGTGAATCAAGAGGAAGAATCAGTTGGTATTATATGCAGTTTATTTATTATGATGAACTACAGATGTGTTTCATTTTTATAGTAATCGGATCACGTGGGGTTCATTCGGCAGTTTAACGGTGAACTTCAGGTGGCGTAGCTGCTCCTCTCACGTGGAACCGAAAGAGATCACAATGATTCTGCTAGTGTTCTACTCATTTCTCCATGCACTCCATGTAACAGGGAACGGTTCAGTATTGAACATGGTTCTCTATGATATGTGGTTATATGGGTTCGCCTTAAGCTAGATCAGAGAGAGCTTGGCTTTGGTGGCTGAACAGAAGATGTTTCAATGTGTTAAAACTTGTTTTGCCAAATTTTGTTCTTTCCTGAAGAGAGGACTGTTGAATAGCCCCCAGAAACGCCTGAGGACACCAGCAGAAATGAGCTGCACCATATGGCTGGAACAGGGATGAGATTAGTCAAGCTTTGACATGCAGTTTGCCTTTCTTTCTTTCTTTATTTTTGTCTTTCTTTCCTGCTTCTTTGCTTTTTTATCTTCAAATAACACCAGTTTGTATTTTAATTAGCGTTTCTTGCTTTTTTTGTGTCTTCAAAATAACACCAATTTGTGTTTTTGACAAGGGTTGTCACCCAGCATGGACTTCAACCTGGACTACGTATGAACTTGCACAGTGTTTTCAACAGTTTTCCCTCAAATGATGGACAAATATGATGAAATAAATGTGTGTTTGACTTGTGCACATTTGCACACGCTGGAGACCAAGTCAACTACACCAACAACAAAGTACTCTGATCCACGATGGATGCTTTTTATTTTCTTCACTGTGAAAAATAGTCTTTATTTCCAGATACTAAGTCTAAATTTTAAGAAGAGAAGTTTTTATTTCCAGATGCTAAGTCAACGTTTTGAGAAAACAAGTCTTCATTTCCTGATACCAAGTCAAAGTTTTGAGAAATTTCATCTTTATTTTCAGATACTACATAAAAATCTGGAGAAAATTAGTCTTTATTTTCAGGTAGTAAGCCAATATTTGAAGTAAATAAATCTTTATTTCCAGATACAAAGTCAAAAGTTTGGGAAAATAAGTCTTGACTCCAGTCCTTCAGTGTTCTGTTCTTTAAACACACCGGACTCAACTGTTCAAAGCCTTGGTGGGTTGAATTCAGAGCATAATATGAGGGAAAAGTCCAGTCTCTGCAGAGCTGTGACCTGGAAGGAACTCAGTCTGACATGCCTGAAGCAACAACCAAACCTCCAGAGATACAGTCACTGAGAAGATAACAACTGATACTGAACTGTAGCAAAGAAGGTGGATCTTCAGGAGCAGGCTTGGTGACCGCTGTCCTATACCATCACTCTAAATGACCCTTTATTATTTAATAGAGAACTCCTGAACCTCAGAGGAACCTAATTCTGCTGCGCCAATCAGAAAAGGACAACCAATGAACTCCCTTCAAGCACGATCAGACTCTTTATCTTATCTTTCTGCAGTTTTCTGAATCGTCCTGCAGTCTGGAACCAGCTGTGTGTTCTTTCTTTTGATGAATGGCTACCAAGCTTAAACCATACACTCTGAAAAGGTTCCTGAACGGTTTTGTAGGAAAACTTAAATAGTGAAGATCTTGAAGGCTTCAAAAAAGGTCTTCATACTCCACATCTCATTTACAAGAATGGTTCTTTAAAGCAGTGGTTCTCCAACTGGTCCTCAGAACCCCCAGACAATCCACACATTTCTATTTTTGCCATCAGGGGGGTGCTCCGAGGACAAGTTTGAGAACCACTGCTTTTATGAGACCACAAGTGGTTCATCATTTCAAAGAACTTTATTTTTAAGAGTGAACCTCAGTGGAAGCTCCTTCTGGTACATCAATCAGAAACAGAGCTCCATCAGGCTCTATCAGATGCTGTGCTGTTTATCTGAATCGTTCTTCAGTCTTGAACCAGCTGTGTGTTCTTTATTTTCTGTTCTACACAGTCTTAGAAATAAAGGGTGCTCAGTGGTTCTTGGTTTGGATATATGGTTCTAGGAAAATCCTTCAATTGGTGAAGAACCTTTACATCATGCAAAAAATGTCTCATTTTTGGACGTCTCGTTTACAACCTTGGTTATTTAAAGAAACATCTGGTTTGAGAACCACTGCTTTGGGAACCAGAATTGGTTCTTCTGTGGCATCACTCTTCAGATCTTTCTGCTGCTTATCTGAATCGCTCTGTGATCTTGACCCTACAAACCCAAAAAAGATTAAGTGTAGTACCGAAAAAGATTCTGTAACTTGTATAAATAGTGCAACTCCTTTTGGTGCTATTAATGCATTCAGGTGGTTCTTATGGTTCTATATAGAACCACTGCTTTTACTTAAGAACCCTAGAAGAACCATTTTTGTGCTGCTTCTTTTGATAACAAGCTACCAGGCCTGACCTACACATTCTTAAAAATAAAGGTTCCTCAGTGGTTCTTGAGTTTATGGTTCTAGGAAAATACAGTACATTGGTGAACAGTCCTTTACGCCATGTGGAGTATGTGGTCCATACATGCACATTTAATTTGCAAGTGTGTTTTTTCTTAAAAAAAACACCTACTGAAAGGTTCTAGGGCAGTTCTCAAACCAGTCTTCAGAGGCTGAGATCGAGAACCAAAGTGGTTCTTCAGTGGCATCACTCCAAGGAGCTCTGGCACCTTTATTTTTAGGGGTGTAAACATCAGGCCTAGTTGGTCACTTTGCTTGTCTTGGTTTGTTCTTAGAGCAGATTTGCTGTAGAAGCTCAAATGTGTTGACTTCATTTGCAGCTGATCAGCTTATTCTCCAGCTAGCACTCGTCCCACTGGGTGGTAAAGCCAGCAGAGGGGGTCAAGCTTTTCAGCGGAAGAGCACTGACCTACGATTAGTTTTTACCTTTTGATTATAATCACAATATAAACCCTGTCGTTGACTGACTGAGACCACCAGCTGCTCTTTACATTGTGTAAGCATTTCATGATGAATGGACCAACAGAAATGTCACTTTTGCATATGATGTTCTATTTCTGACACCACACTGTCTTACTGTATACCAGCATAACTTCATTTCCTCTGTGGTTTTATGTTCTAAGAGTAAACCAAGCAGTGCTGAACGCTGTTCCTCAGGCGAGGTTTATTCAAGCATTGATATGTTGCATTTCTTATAGGTATATTACGGGTTTACAGTGTTATATCATCATCTATACATGAAACATACATATTTACAATTTTACAGATGTGTATACGTACATATATTCAAACAGATTTACAGACATGGTGACACATGAGCAGAAGAAGACTACAGGTGAAACAGAAATACATTTCCTATTCTTACTACACCTCTCTCTCTCTCTTTTTTCTCTCTCTCTCCAGTATGGAGGAGGATGAAGTTCATATTTATGCTTAAATAATGTGTTTATTTCTTCACTTCCTAAGACTTTCTCAGACCAAATGAAAGGTTTTAATTGTAAAAATCCACTCCTAACATCATTATTCCCCAATCTACAACTGAAAAAATCAAAGATAAACGCTCGTTCTGCATTTATTGCTACTGTATTCTTAAACAAACATGGTACATTTTGGTCCAAAGTACTTGGAATGTACACGGAATTGGAGAGAGGCAAGAAACTTGATCTAATTTTCTACTTATTCTAATTAGCGCTGCATTCATTCAAATGCCTTATAAAGAACTTCACAGTCACTCTGTGCTATGCTACTCTGTATATCTTACTCAGTTTAATGTCTTTAGCGCTGAATCTTATCTATAGCGTCTTAACGTAGAGTATTTTAACATTAACATGAACAGACGGTTGATAATGTGCTATGATGCGGTATCACTGACGTATGGCTAGGGCAGCGGCTCACAGCAGAGTCAGTGTTAGATGAGGAACAGGAGGAGCTACAGCAGCAGCGTCTCCACTCCAAATAACACTGATGGTCACATTGTCAGGGACGTACATAAAAAGAAGAAGAGTCTACAGTGTGACTTTGGATTTGGTGCAAAAGCCATCCAGTCTGTGTTTTCTTTAACTAGCTTACAGTACGGATGGACTGTACTATGGTTTACAGCATGCATCCAGTCAGTCCATCCCCTTTAGATACCCATCACATTCCCCCTCTCAGTATTTACACGGAGAATCGGCACACTGGATACAGGAAGCACTGGAGATTCACAGGAAGTGCGTAATGCTAAAGGAATAGGCCGACAAAAAAGCTCATTTATACAGTTTCCCCCTTAACTGAACACAGTCGATAGATTTGGTGTCTGGAGCTTCTTGAATTTTGGCTCTGGAGCTACAAGGCTAATGTAGCTAACAAGCAGTGGAAGCTCTGCAGTGTGCAAACTGGACAAAATGAGCAAAATTCAGGCTTCAAGATGGATTCTGTCACTGTTTTTGGCTATATAATGAACAGACAAACAAAATCCAGGCTTTTTTAGCTTTGCTAATACACTTTTGTCCATTTTATACAAGGGCCAGTGACCAATAACAGAACTTAAAATTCAAAATTAATAAGAAAAAGGGATTTTACTTGCATTTTTCTGTGTGCAAGATTCTGTTCAGTGAAAAATTCAATTTTAAAATGGATCATCAATTCAAACCCCAGGAAATTGTCAGGTGGCGCGACCAAACATTAATGAAAAAAGTTATTTACCACCACTGAAAGCATGATAAACCCACACAAATCTTTGTCCTTAAATGTTTATACATAGATTTAAAAAAATAAATAAATGTACATTATTATAAAAATGACACATTTTCATGGTTTCTCCTGGGGTCACACCACAAGACTCGATAAACGTACCAGCCTGACCACGACTCAAAAATGACAATATTTTTAAGATTTGTGAAAGGGCTGTTGAACTTTGCATTGCACAATAAGGGTAATTTGGGGTCTTCTTCATGATGCAACACTGCTCATTCCTTCATAAATGCATGACAGAATAAAAGTCCTTCGTTTACAGTTGTGCCACATGACATCTGAGGAAATCTGAATTTACATACAAAAGTTTTGCAATGAGCTGAATACTTTTGAAGCTGCCCCATTTTGCATCATGTTATGATTTTAAAGATCGTAAATTCGGGCAAAACCACTTTATTAAGAATCCTAGTTTAAATTATATAAACAATCTTCTTTTATAGTTTACTTTTTCTAAGTATATGACTGGACGGTCGCACCACCTGACATTTTTTAGACGTTGTTCCCTATAATGAATTTCATTTTGATACATTGAAAATAATAAGTATTTACATGAAGGATGTATTGGAGCATGTTTACAGTGTCTTATATTTATTACATTTTTAAATATGAAAATAATGGACTTGTGGACAAAGAAAGTGCACTTCATGTCATTGACATACAGTGTCAAACCACATAATCGAGTCTACTAGTGATTACTACTATTCAACTCACGGTTTGATGCCTTAGATAGCAGTTAGCACAGTGCTAATTGGTGTACACATGCTTCCATTACTTGCTAGCTCCATTAGCCTCGTAGCTCCACTGTAGAACTCAAGAAGCAAACTTCAGACACCAAACACGTCCCGGCGGACTCACTACATTTGATGTAAGCGATGGGGGGGGGCTGTGTAAATTTGATTTTTCACCAAACTATCGCTTTAAATATTAGAGTTTGTCCCCAACACTCAACTCATGATGCTGTCTCAGCCCCCTGAACCAGGCAGTCTGAGCACAACATATTATATACCTACATTAACTATTGAATAATAGCAAGTTTTCATATCATAAATTCTACTTACAGCTGTTTTAAGATCTAAAATTCTGAATCCATTTTGCTACAGAACATGCGATATGTCCTCTAATACCAGCGGACGCTTCGATGCGCGTTATTACTATAAACAATGTGCTGTTAATATCAAAGAATGCCTCGGTTACACATCGGCTATCAAAGGCCCACAATGTGGAATGCCATTGGAGAGCGTGTCTGATATCGTCGTTGTCGTTTTTATTGCATAATGCCGTATCCTAAGCCCACGGTTGCTCACAGTGATGTGGACCAGGCTGGGGAAGAGTGATGAGCTCCAGCGCTAATCATATGCTACTGCTCCGCCATGACAGAGCGGAATACAAAACAAGTCTGCTCAGATCCGATCTAGAACACAGGTTCCAATCTAGATAACAGCGAGTGTCTGGAAATCGTGCAAGGCAACATTTCGGAGTGTCTGACTTTGACTTATCAAGATTAAACATGGGTCTCCACTTGAATTAGGAGACCTTTATCTTGCCTAAGTTCAGGAATGGAGGCTGTATATGCATTGGCTGTGCTACTAATGCCTGCCTTTCGATTGGTTTTGGGTACCACTGCTGAACCCAGTCTGCTACCAGGACAGAGTAGTAACTAGTTCTGTTTACTCAGTTACAAATAAAATTTGATTGTTTTCTACTTTCCTGAGTACTTTCAAATGATCACATTTTACTTCTACTCCAGTATATTAATGAATAAAGTGATCTACTTGTTCAGTTAAATTTCAGCCATTAACACTGGCATCAATGGTAATCTGACATGGAAACACTTCAAACGCAGTTCTATGAATCTGTGGTGGAATTCAGTTCTTCTGCTGCCTGTTAAATCACAAAAAATCAATTTCAAAATCGTTCGAATTTTTGGCTGTGCGCAGAACAGTAGCAGTCAAATGTTTAGACCCCTGGAAGGTGTGTAAACAGCACTGGGACCCAGAACTGATCCTTGGGGAACACCTTTACTGTTTTTTGCATTTTAGAGTATTTATGAAGACGCTGAAGCTCTGAAATGTACAAGAGGGAATTACGCATTGATGAAAAAGTGTTATCTTCTGCTTTAGATTCTTTTATAAGTGAACCTTGCTTTTTGTTTATGTTTACATCATTGCTGTCCTGTAATACTTTTTTGTTTTCACTTCTCCTGGAAAGTTGCCATTTGGAGATGTGAGGTTTTGTTCCTACAGCGATGAGGAGATATTTTTGATTAAACTTAATGTTTTGTTGATTTTCTAATGAAAAGAAGTTAACACAACCTCTACAGGGAACACACCTTAATATGGCATTTTTCTGCAAATTTTAGTGCACAATTTGTATTTATTTGTTTAACATATTGAAAAAAAGGCAATATAAATTGCAAAAATATGCCATAATTTCTGCACAGAACACATCTTTTATTTTTCCCCCAGTATGTTAAATTCTGTAAATAAACAGTAATTGTGTATTAAAATGTGCAAAATGTGTTCTCTATAGAGGATGTGTTCACTTACATTCACTTACAAAATTTTTAAAGAATGGAATTTGCCAGGCATGCCCAAACTTTTGCATATGACTGTAAGCCTTTAGATAAGATTAATGATAAACATACACTCGCTCACTTGGCTCCAAACATTTGACTGCTACTGTGTACTAATGGTCACTTTGGTGGGGCAGGTTTTCTGGACACAAACTCGGTTCACTGGAGATTCACCTTTAACAGAGCAGTTTTTAGTTTAATCATAATCCCAATCCATGAGGAAAATGGATATGGGTTAAATATTGCAATCTGTCAGAAATATCCAGATGCTGCAAACACCTCTAACTCTGCTCAGGCTGCAGTTCTGTTCCTGACAGATGAGTTGTTGATTACTGATATTTCACCAGCAGATACTATATTTAAACTCTTTGGTAAGGCAGGACACTCACATGTCTGGGTATTATGAAGGGGAATTCCACTAATTTTCCAAATTTACCTCAGAATTAACTGTTGGAGATCAGTCATTGAGAGTGGTTTGGTGTGAAATGGTTCAGATGTCTTTACAGTGGTGGTGATAGGAACCAGGGGTCGCCATGACTACAACACAAATATAGACATTTTATTTACTATCCAGAACCACCAGAGAACCTACACGAGTCTTCTGAGTTCATATGGAATGATGATGATGGGAAAATAGCAGAAAATATGAAATAATAAGTTTTCTTTGGGACTCTTTTGCCCCACAATGCCCTGCATGTATCCCTCCACCATGAATGGATTTAAAAAATATCCGATTTAGGCCCAAATCTTCTCAAAACTATCGCAAAACAATGTCTCATCCATTAAGCAGTGAATTCATAACCATTTCCTGTAGTATCTTTCTGTGAGGGAGCTTTTAGAGGTGGACGTCTGGTTCCTATCACCACCACTGTGAACAGCTCTGACTCACTCTGAATGACTCGGTATAATTATCCTATGAGTTTTTAAATGAATCCCCGTTTTTAATGAATCTGAATTCATCCTTAGATAAAGCGACTATCATGAATAATATACAGACTGCACTGTTTAGGAAGGATGTGTAACTCTAATCTTTGTGATGCCCTGATAAAGTCATATTCCGTCTGTTATAATGTGGGCACAGTTCCAACCCAGCCACATGCAGAGAGGCAAGCAGTAGTTTAGTAATGCCAGAATAATCTGTAGTTGCTCTCACGCCTGTATGTTTGTGAGCTGATCAGGTAAATATGGTTTATAGTAATGGAATATAATAATGCACCACTGTGCCCTGAAAAAGAGTTCTACATTGAATTTACTTGATTAAAACGCATCACTTCCACATGAACCAAGTACAACAACACAGTTCTGTCTTTAGGTTTACTTGCTTTTGGCAGTAACTGTGTCGATGTAATATGTGATGTATGTTCTATGTGGATGCAGGTAAATTCAGTGCATTACTGTTCTTCACTGCGGGTCGAAGGTGCTGTTGGTCATCACGCTGTTTTGTCAGCTCTATCTGGTCCTCTCGCCGACTCACTCGTCCTTGTTTTCGCGCCCTCGGGCTGTGCGTCGTTGGGGGAAGCGCGCTGTAGCACCAGGAGACCAGACAGAGTGAGAGAAATGCCCACCCACCACAGGGCGATGTGACTGTCCCCGAAAATCAGCTGCCCGAGGAAGGCCTGGTCAAAAAAAGCACAAACAAGAAGAGCACGGTCACGGTAACATTTCAGAAGAATTTTATATATTTTAATTTAATATAAATACAGAATAAAATTATGACTATGAGTGCAACACACTTAAAATGGCTCTTCAAAGGTTCTTTAGTAAAGGCAATGGTTCTACTTAGAACCATGAGTTCTATGTAGAAACCATTTCATGCTTGAATGGTTCTTTGCATGATGAAAGCGTTCTTCAGATTGATCCAGAATGGGCTGCATATGATTCTACATAGAACCTTTTTGAAAATGGTTCTACATAGCACCAAAAAGGGTTCTTGTTTTGGTGCTTTATAGAACCATATAAAACACATCAATCTGAAGAACTCTTTCACCATGCAAAGAACCAAATTCAAATATTCAATGTAATCAAAAACAGGCCAGTAAAAAGTTTTGACACATCTATGCACTGAAAGTGAAACAGCACTGGACCCAGAATTGACCCTTGAGGAACACCCCTACATTATTTTCTACATTGTAGAATAATAGCGAATATCTTGAAGCTATGAACTAACAGCAGATGGAATTGTGTTTTGACAGAAAGCTGTGTTAAACAAATCCAAAACTATCTGTAATTTGAGATTCTTCAAAATAGCCAAAATGTTTACATAACCACTAAAATGCCCTGGTTCATTTGAGACGTTAACATGTACAAATAATTTAAGCCAAAGTAAATGAGTCAAAGCAGTCTTTTCTTCATTAACCCATCTGAGTCAACTGACATTACTCATGTTTTGTGGTTTAGTCCAATTTCAACCAGCGTCCACACTTCATGGCCACTTGTCAGACACTCCTCCTTTGTAGTTCCACCTTGCTGGTGTACAATTAGAGACAGCGAATCATCTGTTGATGCACAGTTGGTGTTAGTCAACCTTTCATCGGTGGTCAGTTTCTGACTACGGAGCCGCTTCTGGTTCTTTCTAAGAAAGTGGCCAGTTAGTGGAAGCACGAGGTAGGTGTTTCTAATGAAGTGGCCAGTGAGTGGAAGCACAAGGTAGGTGTTTCTAATAAAGTGGCCAGTGAGTGGAAGCACGAGGTAGGTGTTTCTAATAAAGTGGCCAGTGAGTGGAAGCCCAAGGTAGGTGTTTCAGTGCCTAGTGAGTGTACCTGCTAGGTGGTTGGTGAAGGTTATGAAAAGTTATGGTGCTTTTTGATCAGGCAGTGTGGTACAGTATAGTTGCTAAACCCTGACATGCATTTTGTTGTCATTTCCTCTTTGAAGTGAGGAGTACCTGAGTACCAGCGCTAACTTTGGTCATCCCTTCTTGCCAGGAAACCAGGACATTAGGGTGGAGCCAGAAATAGTGCAGACCACTGAATGGTCAAACGCAAGGTAAGAAGAACTGTTGCTACTGTTGTTCGTATTTGCTGTTTAACACTAATATTGCAGAAGAAACCACGTCACCACTCCACGACCTCCTGAGAACCCCACCTATTTCCACAGGTATATTTGTGTTGGGAAGTGGACTCAGGTACTCGAGCAGGGTGTGGATAGTTCTAGATTCGGATTAGTAACTGCACCGCACTGACTGTCTTTAGCGCTCAGTGTGTGACACTTACAGAGGAGATGAAGTTGGAGGCGGTGGTGGTCACAGTGGTCCGGGTGGAAGAAGAGGAGTACCTGAGGGCCTTCGACAGGAACGTCCACATCACAGCGTTACAGGTGAACAGCAGCCCGCCACAGAGAAGACGCAGGGGGATGTGCAGCTGTTTCACACAAACAACATGAAGAGAACCGAGGAACATTCTTACTCAGAGTGGATCGCTGCCCACAGATCATTCATGGTGCTACTGTAATGAATGGAGCTGATTCTGTAAATGAGTAATTGTAGCAGAGCTGTGCAAACGGACATGCTAATTTGAATTTGTTCACTTTTCCATCCGTTTTGTCCTCTATAGTTTCAGTTACATATCACTCTGACCCCAAAACACATTTCACCACCTCTGTGACCATTTCTGTGCAGAGTAACACTGAAAATAACATCAAACCGAACTACTGATGGAGGGGAATATTTCAGACTAGACTGTGTGTCTGTTATCAAGATCAAAACATCTGACGTCACTTCTGAGTTAATTATATGAGCTTTTACTGAATGTAAACAGTACCCGGTCCCAGGCGGCGGTTAGACTGCATGTAAATGGTCCCTACTGAAAAAAACCATAGAAACCATTAAGTGTGTCTGTTGGTTCCTGATGGTTTTGCAATGTGTTTTAGCTTTTTTAACGGGTTGAGATCACAATGTGAAGCATCCTAATGGTTTAACAGGTGACCAATGGCTGATTCTAAATGCATCTAATGGTTTCCTAATGGGATCTAAAGGTGTTCTACAGGAAACTAGTGGTCTCAATTGGAAACCATTAGGCCAATTCGCATTAGAAAGCGAGACCATTATGTCCTAATCCCAATGGTTTCTAATGGTCCGTGTTCAGCAGGGATACCCTGTCAGACTGAATGTAATCGGTACCCGGTCGCAGGCGGTGGTCTCGTTGGCCTGTGTGAACCTCCGCGGTTCGCTCCAGCTCCGCAGCCCCGTCTCACACACGCCCTTCAGGTAATCCGCGCCCAGAGACAGCTTGGCGGAGGACGAGGCCACGGCGCCCAGGAAGCCCGCCAGCAGGGCGTACAGAACTCCGGGGAACATGGCGCACCCTCCGCGGCTACATGCTGCTCCGCCTCGGTTCGGTTCTCCAGCGCGGCGATCGGCTGAATGGCGGGTTTCGTTTCCCACCTGTATTCCGGCAGACCCCGCCCACCTTCGCTGTCATTGGCTGCTCCGTCACACCGACGGGCTGCAGGCTGCGGGCTCGTTTCATTGTGTTCGCTGTAGCGCCCTCGATCACTCGCCTGGGCCTGAAAAGGGAACAGCTCTGAACGCGTCTGTGGGGTGGAGGGATAACAGCAATCAAGGGGGCAGCATTTCATCTGCCCTCAGCAGCCACTGGACACGTAAACACGCAGGGTCGAAAATAACCAGCAGCAAAATTATTTTACAAAACAAAAACCAATGAGAGGAGTGAACACGTCAGCATAGACCTTAAAGGGGGACTCCACTGATTTTTCAAAAATTGTGCATAATTAAATGGTTGAGATGTAAACAGAGTCATTCAGAGTGGTTTGGTGTGAAACGCTCTGTTCTAGAGAAACTTACAGAGTCAGAACTGTTCACAGTGGTGGTGATAGGAACCAGACGTCCACCTCTAAAAGCTCCCTCACAGAAAGTTACTACATGAAATGGTTATGAATTCACTGCCTGATGACTGAGACACTGTTTTACAATAATTTTTAGACAATTTTGGCCTTAAATGTTTTTCAAACTGCTTACATGGTGGAGGGATACATGCAGGGTGTTGTGAGGCAAAATAGTGCCCAATGAAAACGTATTATTTCAGATTTTCCACTATTTCCCATCATCAACATTCCATATAAACTCAGAAGACTCGTGTAGGTTCACTGGTGGTTTCTGGATAGTAAATTAAATGGCTATATTTGTCATCTTCTGTTATGTTCTGACCTTAGACCAGGTCGAAACAGCTGCTTAATGTAAGGCACATGTGTCAGGCTCCAGTCTTCATGGGCCAAAACACCGCAGACTTCAGCACACTGCCTCATTACCCATCTGGGGTCATTAGAGGCCATTTTCTCAATTTGTGCATGTCTTCATATAACATGACCCTGTTATGTTTCATATCAAAATTATGTTTATCTCTACTTTCCAAAACCGCTGCAGCAGCTTCAGCAGCTGTAAACTCTCTGCACGCCGTTTCACATGAGTCTCCGATGTGGAATCAGTGAAGAATGAAGGGTTTCCGGCGTGATGGTCAGTCCTTAGTGATTCCTGAGTGTCCATTGGTCAGTTTCACACAGAACGTAGATGGACACACGAATCCACCAGTTCCACATGGTGAGAGGCAGATGACGTGTATCTCAGCCCCTCTTCATAGGCTCATAACTCCGGATGTGAGTCTCGTATGATCTCGAGATAAGATGGAATGGAAAGGGCGACTCTACAGATTCAGGAAGAGTTTGAACTGGATTTCTGTGCTGGATCATCACAAAGATACACAAACAGAGACAGAGACAGAGAATTTGACACACAGACAAGTCTGTGGACCCCAGAGGGTTAAACCCACTTGATTCAGCCTGGAAGGTACCCAGTTTGACACACCTGGTAGGCCTGTAAGGCTGACCGCAACTCACTTGAAACTCAGCCGCAACACTGAATTTGGCGCATTGGCGAGTCTGTGGACCCCACAAGGTTAAACCCACCTGATTAGCTAATTAGCAAGGCCTTCATGTACTAAATTCAGAGTGTTAGATGAGGGTAAATGCTGATCTTCAAAGCTTTTTTGGCCCGGAAGGTCCCCAGTTTGGCATGCCTGGTGTAAAGCATCCTGCAACTCACTTGAAACTCAACTGCAACAGTTGAACGCAGCTCAACAGCCAATCACAGTGCTAATAGCACATCACATGAACATGTCAAACAAATGACCAGGTCAGCAGACACTACAGTTAACTAAGAACTAAAGATCGCTCACTCAGAGCTAACTGAGAATCACGGGCCCGTGCAGTGGGGGAAGTGGACGAGGGCGCAGCGGAGCGGAATGCGCCCCAAACAGGAGGGACATTATGGGCCAGTGGCAGCAGCAGGAGGCGAGGTTTTGCCGGAATACGGGTGGGAAAAAATGATGCGTTTCATTCAACTACGTCATTGTGCGGGAGAGCCTTTATTGCTGGTTGCATTCTGGGAAATGTAGCTTCCCCATTAATATTGCATGAGCTGAAATGTGTTGTGTAATTTTATGACATTAATTAGGCCTCTGGGTGTAAATATGAGGGCAGAAATATGACATAATACTGTCGTAATCTGATTACAGGGGATTTCTACGGTGAGAATTCGACTAACGATGTCTAGAAGTTTTCTGGTTTTTCAGTAGAATCTGAATGAGCTTTCTAATAATGAGAGTCCCTCCAGCTCTGAGGCAGTTGGAGCCTGTTCATAATGAACTGCAGGGAGGAGAGAGAGCGAGGAACGAGGAACGAGGCCGTGGGTTTGATCTAATTCCTCTGATTTCTCTGGGCTCTGAGGAGGAGATCAATTCTAACCAGATGACCTTGAGTTAGAGCGCTGCTCAGTAAATCAGGGGCTCAGTCTGGCAGCGTGGAGAGAGAGAGAGAGAGAGAGAGAGAGAGGGAGAGAGAGAGACAGAGAGAGAGAGAGAGAGAGAGAGAGGCTTCTTATGACTCACCTCATTACCCACTAACACCTGCATATTTTTATACACTCACCTTAACATCCCCACCTAAAATTCTCCAATCATTAGTAGTGCTGTATCAGTGAATGCATTAAAGGCCTTGTATCATCTAAAAGACCCTAAAAATCCCACCCCTAAATTCATTGTTTTTGTGATGTCACAAAAACAGATCATTTACATTTATCCACCTGTGCAGGCTACAGAAGTTTAGCTCCACCCACTCACACTGACGTTATAAGGAGTGTTTCAGCCTGGACTGCTTTTAGAATGAGGCACAATACAGGACAGCCAATCAGAACAGAGATCATTTGCATACATCACTCTTAAAGGCACAGTTACAGAAACAGCCTGTTTAGTTCTGAGGGATAAAGAGAGGGTGGAAAGTGGTCATGTAGAAATGAATTATGGCTGGGAGTTTGTATATAAACAAAAATAAACGTCATAAGTGAACATAGAAAACTCTGGACATGGAAATCCAGAAAACGCTGGATTATTTGGGCCCTATAAGTTTTATTGAAGCTCCACTTTGGATGTGAAAAGGTCTCAGTGTGAGGGAGGTTAGAGCTCGGTTTCCTGATAGTCCCTTTCTAGAAATGCCTCTGATGTCCAGCTGTTGCATTCGGACTGGTCCAGGCACAGTCCAGAGTTCATAACTGTAATGTTTTCATACGTTGTGTTAGAGAAACTGAAAGGAACTGAAACTCTGACTGGCTCATTTCCTGTTTCTTATTACAGGAGTGTTTAAAATAAACTTCCTTTTAGCTGATTGTTGTGACAAATACATGAACACATATAGAGCCAGTCTGTAAAACATCCACACCACCAGGTGGCGCCTCTGTCCTTCAATGCCCTGTCTGACCTAATGCTTATAACTTTGACTCTAGAACTAAAAAGTCTCGAATAACACTGATAGTTCTAAAACCACAGTGAGGGATTTGGAACCACATTCAGAACTGTGAAAATTGAAGAACCACTATGAAAATGCTAGAACCACAGTAAGGTCTCTGAATCTACAGTGAGAATTCTAGAACCACTGTGAGACGTCTGGAGTCAAAGCGACAAATCTAAAGAATATTGAGAATTGTAGTACCACAAATTCTAGAACAAGAGTGGGAATTTTAAAAATATAGTAAGAATTCCAGAACCACAGTGAGAACTCTAAAGCCACAGTGGATATTCTAGAACCACTCTGAGATCCCAAAAGCCACAGTGATAATTCTAGAATGACAGTAAGGTCTTTAAAGACACAAGGAGAATTCTAGAACCGCAGTGAGATCTCTAGAGTCATAGTGAGAATTTAGAACCACAGTGAGAAATCTAGAACCACAGTGAGAACTGTATGGCTACAGTGAAAATTCTAAGGCTATGGTGAGAATCTGGATCCACAATGACAAATCTAGAACAACAGTGACCACAAATTCTCAAACAACTTTGTAAATTCTACAGCTGCAGTGAGAATACTACAGCCATAGTGAGGCTTCTAGAACCGCAGTGAGAGTTCTAGAACCACAGTGAGGCCTCTGGAGCCAAAGAGGCAAATCTAAAAGAGTACCAGACCCACAAATTGTAGAGGCATGGTGAGCATTTTAAAGCCACAGTAATAAATGTGATGACATAGTGAGAATTATAGAACCACATATTCGAGAACCACATTGAGAATTCTGCAGTCATGGTAACAAATTTAGAAAAACAGTGAGAATTTTAGAGCCACAAATTCTAGAACCACAGTGAATATTCTAAAGCCGTAGTGAGGCTTCTAGAACCACAGTGAGGCCTCTGGAACCAAAGAGACAAATCTAAACGTTGTAGAACCATGGTGAGCATTTTAAAGTCACCATGAGAAATCTAATCACATAGTGAGAATTGTAGAGCCACAAACTCTAGAACCACACTGAGAATTACACAGTCACAGTGACAAATTTAGAAAAACGGGGAATTTTAGAGCCACAAATTCTAGAACCACAGTGAGAATTCTAGAAGACTCATTGTAAAAACTCTCTCTCTTGGAAGGATTCGTGAATTGCTCGTCCTCTTCGCTCTCAGAGAGGAACAATGTAGATGTCAGAGACCTAATTGTCCTCTCTGAGCTGACCGTTCTCTGACCGCACCTTTCCTCTCTTTATGGAGAGAAGCCTCATTAAAACGTACAACTCCAGCTGTAGAAACATCAGGGAAGTTCTTCAGTCTCCAGCCTTCCTGTCACTGACTACATCTCCCAGCATGCTCAGCACTCTGTGCTGCCCTGTGTACTCGTTATTAAAGCTCTGATGTGCTGAAGGAGTTTGACCCTCACTGCTCATTATGGAGATAACCTCTGAAGAGCTTCAGATTACAGGCCAACTGTTAAATGTTCAGGACTAATGGGCTTGTATTTCTGAGAGCTACACAA